ATTTTAAGTCTTTTGTCTTCTGCAGACAGTTAATTTGTTTTACTGTGATACCTTCCTGAAGGCTTTAGCAAGCACCTATGAAATTTGAAAGTATTTTCTTTTCAAAGGATTCATGGAAAAAATTCTGATAAGCACAGATTTCTGAAAACTTTAAGGTCATACCACTGGACTAGGTAAGAATTTTCAAAACACTAATAAAAAATCGATTGATTTATAAGACTGTTAAACCAAGATCAAGTGAAACAATAATTAGTTACATGGGGGATGGAGGCATTGACTCACACCTATAATTCCAGGACGTTGGGGGGCCCAGTTGGGTGGATCACTTGAGGCCAGGAGTTTGAGACCAGCCTAGCCGACATAGTGAAACCCCACCTCTACTAATAATACAAAAATTAGCCAGGCATGGTGACAGGCACCCATAATCCCAGCTACTTGGGAGCTGTGATTGTACCACTGCACTCCAACCTGGGCAATAGAGCAAGAGTCTGTCTCAGAAAAAATGAATTAGTTACATGGGACTAAATGAACTGATGAGGATGATTAAAATATCTATGATATTTTGTTTGAAATATTTCTGGTTCTTCAACGTTTTATTTTCCAGACTTTTTTTTTGACAGGGACTTCCTCTGTCACCCAGGCTGAAGTGCAGTGTGGATCAGTCACTGCTCACTGTAGATCAAGCACTGCTTACTTGGCCCTCCTGGGATCAAGCCATCCTCCCCACTCAGCCTTCCGAGGAGACAGGACTATAGCGGTGTGCCTGGCTAGTATTTTAATATTTTGTAGTGATAAGTTTTCACTTCGTTGCACAGGGTAGTTTTCAGTTCCTGGCCTCAACTGATCCTCCCACCTCAGTCTCCTGTAGTGCTAGGATTACAGGTGTGAACCACCACACCTGGCCATTTTCCAGATTTAAGGAAACCATTTTCTCTTATTTTGTTCAATCATTTAAAACTTACTGCAATATGATAGGTTACACATTTTTAAATGAAAAACAAAACAAAACATTTATCTTTTCCTCCACACCTGATCCCTCCAGAGTTAGAATCTCTCTTTTTTTTTTTTTTTTTTTTTAGGAAGGGAGGGATGAAGGAAGGGAGGAAGCGGGGAGGGAGGGAGGGAAGGGAAGGAAGGAATTCAAGCAATGAGAGAGACATTGCTGACCTGGATCTAGAGGTTTACAAGTTGATTTCTTATTTTTGAGTGAAGGAAAGAAGAAAATAATGAGTAAAGGAGAGGAAGAAAGAGGAAGAGAAAGAGGGAGAGTGAGTGGAAATATTGCTTTATTCTGAAAAAAAAAATGGGTATTAATAATGGCCAATCAATGTTTCATTTAGACCTATCAGTAGGTGTGATGTGGTATTGACTAGAATGTTTATTTTGTGTATTTGAAGTGGAGAGCTCTATAAATATTTATTAAGTTTACTTGTTCCGGATCTGAGTTCGAGTCCTTGATATCCTTATTAATTTTCTGTCTCATTGTGTCTAAGTCTCTATGTATTTGGGTGTTAGGATCGTTAGCTCTTGTTGTTGCATTGATCCTTTTACCACATCTTTGCTGCTTTAAAATCTATTTTATCCAATACAAGAATTGCAACTCCTGCTTTTTATTTATTTATTTATTTTTGCTTTCCATTTGGTTGGTAAATCTTTCTCCATCCCTTTGTTTTGAGTCTTTGCGTATCCTTGCCTGTGAAACAGGTCTGGATGTAACATGCCGTTGGGTTTTGGCTGTGTCTTTTGATTGGGGGATTTAGTTGATTTAAATTTAGGGTTACAGCCATTTGATGTTAACTGGCTGTTTTATCCATTTGTTGGTGTAAATTCTTCTTTATGTTGGTGCTCTTTAAGTTTTAGTATATTTTTAGAAGGGCTGATACTGGTTGTTTCTTTCTGTGTGTAATGCTTCTTTCAGAAGCTCTTGTAAAGCAGGTCTGGTAGTAATAAAATCTCTGAGTTCTTGCTTGTTCATAAAAGATTTTATTTTTCCTTCAGTTGTGAAGCTTAGTTTGGCTGGATAAGAAATTCTGGGCTGAAGGTTCTGTTCTTTGAGGATGTTGAATATTGGCCCCCACTCTCTTCTGGCTTGTAGAGTTTCTGCTGAGAGATCTGCTGTAAGTCTGATTGGCTTGCCTTTGTGGGTAACCTGACCTTTCTCTCTGGCTGCCCTTAGTATTTTCTCCTTCGTTTCAGCCCTAGTGAATCTAATGATTATGTGCCTTGGGGTTGCTCTTCTTGAGGAATATCTTTGTGGTGTTCTCTGTATTACCTGGGGTTGAATATTGACCTGCTTTGCTAGTTTAGGAAAAATTTCCTGAATAATTTCCTGAAGGGTATTTTCCATCTTGGATTCATTCTCTCCGTCGCATTCAGGTACACCTATCAAATGTAGATTTGGTCTTTTCACATAGTCCCACATTTCTTGGAGACTTTGCTCATTCCTTTTTATCCTTTTTTCTCTAATCTTTTCTTCGTGTTTTATTTCATTAAGTTGGACTTTGACCTCTGATATCCCTTCTTCTGCTTGAACAATTCGAGTGTTTAAACCTGTGCATACTTCTCGAAGTTCCTGTATTGTATTCTTCAGTTCCATTATTTCACTCATACTCCTCTCTAAGTTGTCTATTCTCAATAGGATTTCATCAAACTTTTTTTCAAAGTTCCTAGTTTCTTTACGGTGGGCTACAACATGTTCTTTTAACTCACTGAAGTTTCTTATTATCCATTCCTTGAAGAGTACTTCTGTCATTGGGACGCGCTCGTTCTCCATCAAGCCTTGTTCCATTGTTGATGTGGAACTGTGATCATCTTTAGAGGGAGAGGCTTCTGACTTTGAGTATTCTCAGCCTTTTTATGCTGGTTTCTTCCCATCATTGTAAGTTTATCCTCCTGTGGTCTTTGAAATTACCAACTTTCAGATTAGGTCTCTTGAGTGGGCGTCCAGGTTGTTAGTTCCCAGGGCCAGAGCAGGACACACTCTGCCTTGTGTCCGTAGTGGGTGACTCTGAGGGGCTCCAAACCTCAGTCAGAAGGGAAGCCGGTCCTGTTTACTCTGCGCCTCTGCGCCGGGCTCTGGTGTCGTGCTGGGGGCCCTTGTGGTCCTCCGAACCTGTTTACTCTGCCCCGAGAGCTGCCGCGCTGAGGTGCCGGCGGAACCGAGGCGCCGGCGGAACCGAGGCGCCGGCCACAAAAGTCGCGCTGGTGACCCGTGTGATTCCTCCACTGGGGATCTTCTGCTCTGTGAGCGACCAGAATTTGTCTGAAAGTGTGGCATCGTCTAGTTCTCCGCACCTTCACTGAGAGCTGCAGTCCCAAGATATTAGCGACTGGCCATCTTGGATCGGACTCCTCCCGAGTTAGAATCTCTTATCAAATATTTTTATTTTGTGACAATATAGTTATTCACATAAGTTTAATAAGAACCTTTTCTCCTTGCAATAAGGCACACATGGAAATAGTTATATTACCAAGGCTTTGATTCAGATGACACATTTGTGAATGATATGCTTAAAAACAGATATGACAAACAGTTTTAAGGAACTAAGGCTGACTTTATGGAACCAGTAAAGCCCCTTTAAATAAAAACTGGCTTTGTACCTTGTTTATGGAGTTCCTAACCTTTCTGGGAAGAAAAATCACTTTCTGGCAGGCCCAGGAACCTCAGAATATTTGGGGAACCCTGAGAGGAGACATCTGTTGGTGAGTTCTTGGTGTGGCTTCCTATACTCAACCGTTGTTAAAACTCCAATCTGAGATTCTTTATTAAAACTTCCAGCAAATCAGACTTCAAAAGAGCCTATATAATCAATCACTATTCTTGCTACACCTTTCAATATAATCCTTATGCCAAGCTGGCATATTTTGGGGTGGTATATCTTGCTATTTTTCAGTATGCAAGGTTATTTTACAAGGATTTAAGCTGAATTAACAGCTTTTTCTGGTTACATCTCTTGCTAAAGGTTAGAGTTAAATGGTAGTTTAAACATTACCTGTGAATTTCATTTTCCTTCAGAGAAATATTACTGAACACTTGTTCTGAAGGCTGATCCTTGACAGTAAGACTCAGAAAATTGAGAGTAGACAAAAAACATTCCTCTAATCGGGGTGGCTGGGTGGAATGAAGTGAACCCTGCCCAGTTACCCTTAGCATCTAACTCCACAGCAACTCTGCTCTCTATTTTGTCAATTTTTTTTCCAGTTCTTTATGAAGGGGTTCAGGAAATGCCCACCCAAAATATAGTGCTTTGGGGTATTACTCTGAACTGAGGATACTTGAAAAACAGCAAATGCAGAGGGAGGCTTTCTCTGAACTCCCTCTGTCTAAAGATAGATCCTGCAAAGGAACTCAATTTGTCATCAATTTTCCATCAGTGAAACTCTATAGGAGTTTCATCAACCAGTGAAAGTTATCTCAATCACAAGAGAGGGGAGTAGAAGTCCATACCACACTCAGACAAACGTCACAAACTATCATCTATTCTTCTAAGGGCCATTCCTCTTTTCCCAAAATCATTTATTCTGCCTGAAATTGGCTACAACCCTGGCTCCCTTCTCTCCTATGAAGAGGGTATATAAGCTCCTAATCTCCCTGGTTTTCCAGGTACTCTTCTTCCTGTGATGCCACCACACATGTAATAAATGCCTATATGTTTTCTCATTAAACTGTCTGTTGTTAGTACGCTTCAGAGGCTCAGTTATTGAACTCTTAGAGGGTAAGGAGGGAAGTCTTCACTTGTCTAAAATTATGGAGATCAATTTAACTTCTAAGGATAAGTCTGTCTGTTTTCTCATGTTTTGAATTTTGAATCATAATGACCTGAGATCCCGAATTACGAATAAATAAGGGGCAACAAATATCTATATGATAACCTATAACTGTTTTATATACAAATCGCAATGTCATGAATGTAAAAGTCATGCTTGATTTAGTTTCTTTATGTTTATTATTCAAAAACATCCACATGGGTGGATACAGTAGCTCATGCTTATAATCCCAGTGATTTAGGAAGCTGAAATGGGAGAATTGCTTGAGTCCAGCAGTTTGAGACCAGCCTGAGCAACAAAGCAAGACCCCATCTCGACAAAAGAATAAAAAAGTTTTTAAAAAGGGATCCAAGATGTCTGAATAGAAACAGCTCTGGAGTGCAGTTCCCAGCGAGAACAATGCAGAAGGTGAGTGATCACCACATTTCCAAACGAGTTATTACTGCCCACAGACCAGGAGATTCCCAGGCTGAAAAGGGCCATGAGTTTCCTGCTTGGCTGTTTCAGCCCATGCAGCGGTTCTCTGCACAAAAACCCACACAAATCTGGGCAGCCATTTCAACTGGCACCTGGAATGCCTGGGAGACAGAGCCGCCTATTAAAGTGAATAAAAGGGGGCTGAAACAGGGAAACAGGTGATCTGGCTTAGCGGGGCCCACCCCCACAAAGATCAGCAATCTGAAATGCTGAGAGTTTCACAGCAAATGCAGCTGGACCCAGGATGGTCCAGCTCTGTGGGGGGAAGGGCATCTACCATTACCGAGGCAGTCCACCACTATTGAGGCAGTCTGCCATTATTGAGGCAATCCGCCATTACTGAGGCAATCCACCATTACAGAGGCAGTCCACCATTACTGAGGCGGACCACCATTACGGAGGCAGTTCTAACTATACCTCTATAAACAAAATTGCAAGGAAATTCACACAGCAGCTGGGCAAAGCCCACAGCAGCTCAGTAACACCTCTGCTAGCAGACTGTGACTAGGCTACCACCTTACTGGGCTGGGCATCTCTGAAAAAAGGCAGCAGCACATTAGGACTTATAAATAAAGCCCCACCTTACCAGGACAGAGCACCTGGGAAAAAAGGCGTTTATGAATTCTGCTGCAGCAGACTTAAATATACCTGCACAGCAGCTCTGAACAGAACAACAGAGCTCACAGCTTAGCACTTGAGTCCTATAAGGGACAGACTGTCTCCTCAAGTAGCTCCCCAACCCCCGTATATCCAAGGAGACACGTCATAAAGAAGAGCTCAGGCTGATATCTGACAGGTATCCTTCTGGGACAAAGATAACAGAAGAAACTGGCAGCAACCCTTACTGTTCTGCAGCTGCTGCAGGCAATCCCCAGGCAAGCATGGTCTGGAGTGGACCTGTAGCAGTCCTACAGCAGAGGAGCCTGACTGTTAGAAGGAAAACTGAAAAACAGAAAGAAATAACTTCATCATCAACAAAAAGGATGTCCACTCAGAGACGCCATCCAAAAGTCACAAACTACAAAGACCACAGGTAGATAAATCCACAAAGATGGGAAGAAACCAGCACAAAAAGGATGAAAACACCCAAAACCAGAACTCCTCTCCTCCTCCAAGGGATCACAACTCCTCACCAGCAAGGAAACAAAGCTGGATGGAGAATGAGTCTGATGAATTGACAGAAACAGGCTTCAGAAAGTGGGTAATAACAAACTTCTCTGAGCTAAAAGAACATGTTCTAACCCAATGAAAGAAACTAAGAACCTTGAAAAAAGGTTTGACGAAATGCTAATGAGAACAAATAGCTTAAAGAAGAATATAAATGATTTGATGGAGCTAAAAAACACAACACGAGAACTTCACGAAGCATATGCAAGTTTCACTAGCCAAATTGACCAAGCAGATAAAAGGATATCAGACTGAAGATCAATTCAATAAAATAAAATGAGAAGGCAAGATTAGAGAAAAAAAGAGTGAAAAGAAATGAACAAAGCCTCCAAGAAATATGGGATTATGTGAAAAGACCTAATCTACATTTGATAGGTGTACCTGAATGTGACGGAGAGAATGAATGAATCCAAGCTAGAAAACCCTCTTCAGGATATTATCCAGGAGAACTTCCCCAACCTAGCAAGGCAGGCCAATATTCAAGTCCAGGAAATACAAATAACACCACAAAGATATTCTCCAAGAAGAGCAACCCCACGGCACATAATTGTCATTGAAATGAAGGAAAAAATGCTAAGGGCAGCCAGAGAGAAAGGTCGGGTTACCCACAAAGGGAAGCCCATCAGACTCATGGCAGATCTCTCAGCAGAAACCCGAAGCCAGAAGAGAGTGGGGGCTAATATTCAACAACCTTAAAGAAAAAAACTTTCAACCTAGAATTTAACAAAACATTTTTAAAAGGCTACACACAGCAGATGGTAAGCCTCTAAAACCTAAAATGGTAAAGTAGAAGATACAAGTTCAGGCCAGGCATGGTGGCTCAAACCTGTAATCCTAGCACTTTATGAGGCTGAGGCAGGAGGATCATTTGAGCCTAGGAGTTCTAGAGCAGCTTGGGCAACATAGCGAGACCTCATCTCTTCTTAAAAAAAGAAAAGAAAAGAAGATATAAGTTTAATTACTACTGAAATTATGCAAGGGTTCTAAAACAGATTTTTATTGGGGGGATGGTAAGATTTTTTTTTAAATTGAAGTCTAACCTACACATAGAAAGTGCAGCTCAACTATTTTTTACAAACTGATCTTACACATATAAATAGCATTTCATCGAAACATAGAACAACAAAAATGAAAACACAAAGAAAAATAAAGAAACATAATATTCCAGTTTCCACCAGAAACTTCTCTCATGCCCCCGCTTTTTTTTTGAGACAGGGTCTTGCTTTGTTGCCCAGGCTGGAGTGCAATGACACAATCTTGGCTCACTGCAACCTCCGCCTCCTGGGTTCAAGTGAATCTCCTGCCTCTGAGTAGCTGGGATTACAGGCATGCACCGCCATGCCAGGCTAATTTTTGTATTTTTAGTAGTGGGTTTCACCATGTTGGCCAGGCTGGTCTCGAACTCCTGACCTCAAGTTATCTTCCTGCCTCAGCCTCCCAAAGTGCTGGGATTAGAGGTTTGAGCCACCACACGTGGCCCAATGTCTTAAACTCAGTAAATCTTAACTTATTTATTTTTTCAAGTAATCATTGAGTACTTGCTATATTATAGGCACTGTTCCATGCTGGGTTTCAAATAATGACTGATGTAGAACTATAACCATATAGATGCTCCAGAGAACTTTCACAGAGGCCTGTGAGAGAATATAATAAGGAGATCTGGTCTACAGGTCCAGGAAAACCCAGCTATTAATAAACAGTAAAAAAGAAAGAATACAGAATGATTTTCAAGAAAAAATTACAGTTCATACATTTTGTATTAAATGAGGCTTTGAGTTTTGCCAAGCAGTCCTGATATGCAGGGTTTGAATTTGTAACTAGTATGCTTACCATGTGGAAAATAAATTCATGATTTTCTCCCATCTTTCTTTTTATAAATAGCACAGAAATAAACTTTAGCTCTGTCAATGGTTAAAATTTTCAAATTAGTGATTATAATATTCTGGCATTTTCAATGTCTAGGAAAGTTTCAGTTGTTGCAAAAATAGACCACATGGCCTCCCCGATCTGTACAGTAAATACTTATGAAATAAAATGTTCTACCCTCTTGGGTCTTCATCAAGACCTCAATAATAGAGCCATGAGGTTTCGTTCACTTCAATTTGTTTCATTTAACCAAAGCTAACACCATTTACTCATTCCTACCTCCAATTGTTAAAGCTAATCATTAAGTTCCTTCTGTAAGTAATTGTGTATAGATAATATCTCTTATATTACTTCCCAGATGAGTATTGTTTCCATCATTAGGAACAGCCCTTTACTGGAAGATGATTTAATAATAGGGCAAGAAGGACTAACTGCTAAAAGCAAGAAAGGGTGGAACCTAATTAAGTCATTTCGTAAACAAAGTCAGGAATGCTAATAGTTTGTTTTTACAATTTTTAAGCATAAATGACTATTCACTACCTTTACAGATAATCTTTGCTTTGTCCATTTTCCCTTAACTGTATATTTAACTCCAGAGAGAATGAAATTTAGTATAACTTTCTGAAGAAATATACATCACTAAAAAATAACTAAAAAAAGGTGATAAGAAAAACTTCAGATCTTACTTTTAATGAGATATTCAGATATCTTTCAACTTTTAAACAGCAGGTAATTAAATAGGAGTAACCCAACTCAAAACTCTACTGGAGAATTTAAGTTTAAAATTCAAGGCTTTCTTGATTATTTTTGAACTATTTTGTTATTATCTTTATCATTTTTAGTTTTCCAATTTGTCCCCAAATTATTCTATAACCATATCTGGCTCTTTTTTGGAGGCCTTAGTTCTTCTGAGAAATATCTCTCTCCCCAGCTCCCTCTACCATGAGAATCATTACAAGGTGAAGGAGAGTGAAATAAACTACCAAGGATAAAACATCTATTCCAGGTGTTTCTATTAGTATAATCTGAGTTTATCTAACAACAAAGATTGTGTATAGAACCAGTGGATAAGTTTCTCTGTGTCCTGATGTTTCGAAAAAACTGTTAACTCTTAAAACCCACAATTGCAATAAATCTTGAATTATTTATAGTTGGAACCCAAAAAATTATTTTGGTTCAACAACTTAGAATCAGAATACACAGCATTTTCCTGATTTAGATAAACAGTTGAAATATTGACTTGACAGACTACTTGCTACTGAAGCAGGTTTAGAATGTATTTCGTTGAAGGTTTTTCTGCTACAGAAACAATGAGAATAATAATAGATTATTACAAAATGGAATTGCTTCACACAATAACATATCTCACGTAACATCTGAGAATTATAGTATAAGACCCTTATGGAATGTAGTGAAAAATCACTCAGAGTTCTTCTTTCAAAAGTAAAGATATTAGAGGAAGACCTGGAAGGCTGCGTGTGGCCTGAGTCTGACCGTGCGCGACGTCGGAAGCCTCGGCGACGGGCGCCTGCAGAGAGGCAATGGCGGCGATGGCAGCTGCGGAAGGCTCCTCGAGCTCGGCGGGCTTGACTCTGGGCCGGAGCTTCTCGGACTACCAGCCCTCTGAGCCACGGCTGACGGGATCCTCCTGAATGAAGGGCTGAGGCTGCAAGGTCCCGCAGGAGACGCTGCTCAAACTCCAGGCGGGACTGACGCGGCCGGGGCCTGGTGGGCGGCCAGGAAGAGGCGTCCCAGGAAACCGGAGCAGGCCCCAGCCCCACTTTTCCAGCCCTGGGCATCAGGATGGACTCCTGCGTCATCCCCCTGAGGCATGGGGGCCTGCCACTGGTGCAGACCACGGACTGCTTTTACCCCTTGGTGGAAGATCCCTACATGATGGGGCGCCATAGCTAGTGCCAACGTGCTCAGTGACCTCTACGCCATGGGCATTACTGAGTGTGACATGTTGATGTTACTTAGCGTCAGCCAGAGTATGAGTGAGGAGGAACGCAAAAAGGTAACGCCACTCATGGTCAAAGGCTTTTGGGATGTGGCTGAGGAAGGAGGGACAGCAGTGACCGGTGGGCAAACGGTGCTCAACCCTTGGATTATAATCGGTGGAGTTGCCACTGTGGTGTGCCAGCCAAATGAATTCATAATGCCCGACAGCACATGGTTGGGGATGTGCTGGTGTTAACCAAACCGTTAGGAGCCCAGGTTGCTGTCAATGCCCACCAATGGCTGGATAATCCTGAAAGATGGAATAAAGTAAAGATGGTGGTCTCCGGAGAACACGTGGAGCTGGCGTATCAGGAAGCCATGTTCAATATGGCTACCCTCAACAGAACTGCTGCAGGTTTAATGCAGACATTTAATGTCCATGTGGCCACGGATATCACAGGCTTTGGCATTCTAGGATACTCCCAGAACCTTGCGAAACAACAAAGAAACGAAGTGTCCTTCGTTATTCATAATCTGCCAATAATTGCCAAGATGGCTGCCGTCAGCAAGGCCAGTGGACGGTTTGGGCTCCTTCAAGGAAACTCAGCTGAAACCTCTGGGGAATTACTGATTTGTCTGCCTAGAAAACAGGCGGCTCGCTTTTGTTCCGAAATCAAATCCCCAAAGTACGGAGAGGGTCACCAAGCGTGGATCGTTGGCATTGTGGAAAAGGGAAGCCGAATGGCCCAAATTATTGACAAGCCGTGAGTTATTGAAGCCCTACCTCGTGGGGCCACAGCTCTTGCTCTTGCTCCTGACAATTCAAATGCCTCTTCTGAGCCTTGCTCGTCAGATGAAAGAACAGAAGCTGTTTGGACCGTAGAGCTATTGTACACAATCACCGATGGTTCTCAAGAGTGGATTTTAAGAGATATCCAAAGAAGGCTGCCTGCATAGTGGTTCCAGCTGCCCTTTCTAGGTGATTGGAATCAGCCCATCAAAAGCAGCCTTTATGTACATTCTGAGGCCAGAGTAACATTTTGAACTTTGTGGGGGATGTTTGTTCATAGCTTGGGTGGAGGAGGAGCAGAAATACCTCTGTTTTTGCTTTCCAAAGTAAGATGAGGCTATTCCAGGTTGAGGGATTTTTCTTTGCACTGGGTTGATTAATTTCTGCACAGGGATTGGATGACTTATTAAAACCACACACAATTGCAAAATGAAAAAATTTAGATCAGAAGCAAATGAGTTTTGGACGAATACTGTTGATAAATCTAAATTGTTAAGAGAGGTCTTATAAGGCCACCTCAAATTCTTTGTTAGATTTTAACTGAGTACTGGCTCTTTCCCGCTCTGGACAAGAACTTGTCATGACTGGGAAAGGGGGACCTGCAACCATCTGGCTTGGTATCTGTTAATGATGTCTCTCCCTCTAAACCCCATTAAGGACAGGGAGAGGCAGACCAAGCCTCAGAGCCCAGCCTTGGTGGTTATTAGGAGGTTAAGTCGTTTGCTGCAAATTTCTGGTGATTTGATCAATAAAGAGTAATTTCTTCCTAAATTAAAAAAAAAAGTAAATATGTTAAACAAACAAATACTCTGGTCACTGGAAGGATTAGTTTCAAAGTTTCATCCAAAAAGTTTAGAATCAGTGCCTTTAACTCACAGCTGTTTGCTTTTTTTTTTAGCTGTTGAATATAGCTGAGAACATACAATGCCTACAATTCCTATAGTAAGAATAAAATCTATTCTCAGGAAATCAGGGTATAAGATAAACCAGAAGAGAGGAAAAAATGTGGAAAAAAGAAAAGGGAGTATGAAAAGCAAGGAAGAAATGGAGGACCAGATAAAAACATAATAGGATTTTTAAAAACAGCTTAGCTATTCCTAAATTGGACAGTGTGGCTGCCTCCTCGGCTTTTATGGGCTCAAAATAGGGAAGTGCATGCTGATTGGTTTGAGATTAAGGCAAGCTTAAACTCGTGCTGTTGCTTTAAAGCCATGTCTTTTTGCTTTCAATGTAAGAAATTATTCAGCCAATTATTAATATAGTGAATATTTGTTTTATTGAAAGATAGAGGTAATTTTGGAGATGACAAAGGTAATACTGAGATATAGAAGTAACTAATTTTGTGTTTTAAATATTAACATATTCTAGTACAGGGTCTCTTAACCTCATTACTATTGGCACCTCGGCCTCCCAAAGTGCTAGGATAACAGGCGTGAGCCACCTTGCCCCGCCCAATTTTGTTGCTTTTTTAAAAAAAAAATAGAGATAGGGTCTTGCTCTGTCACCTGGGCTGGAATACAGTGGTGTGATCATAGCTTACTGTAACCTTTAACTCCTGGGCTCAGGCAGTCCTCCAGCCTCAGGCTTCTGAGTAGTTAGAACTACAGGCAAATGTCACCACACCTGGCTAATTAAAGAAAATTTTTTGAGACAGGGTCTAGTGATGTTGCTCAGGCTGGTCTTGAACTCTTAGCCTCAAGGGATCCTCATCTTGGCCTCCCAAAGTGCTGGAATTATAGGCATGAGCCACCAAACCTGGCTGTGAATCTCTGTTCTAAAGGAATGAATAATCTATCTTATATGAATGCTGTTTTTAAATTGGCATTTTTAGACAGATTGTTTCACTCAATTCTTAGATTCCTGTGAATATTCCTTTCCTGAGATATGAGGATATTCATTCTCATATCACAAGATTCCTAAGATATGATAATCATCTTATCTGTAAGTCATTTAATGTTTATGAACCTCAGTTTTCTTGTGCATGAACACAGAGCTAGAAGTGTTACACCTGGAACTTTTCCCTTGGAACAAATTAATTCTCATATGATATATAATGAAATAATTGTATTTGAAAAATCAATGGGTATAAAATTGTATTTATACATGATCACAGGTTTATAAACATTTTGTATAAAAGGCAACAAAGGCAAGATGACAGAAAATATTTGATTTATTTTTGTAGTCAAATTTGTTGGCTTCAGAATTCTGATTTCCACTGATGCAGTGGTCTCAACCCTAACTGTTAATTAGACTCACCTGGGGGGCTTGAAAGTTATTAATGCTGGAGTCTTATCTCCAAAGATTTGAATTTGAGGAAAGAAAAAGTAGAAAGGATTACTTCTTACTTAAAAAGGAGAATGTCTCACCAAGCACCAGTACACTGCCATTCATCACCTTTTCTTTCTCTTCTTCTTGTCTAAAATGAGGTAAAGATAAGATTTGGGAGCTTAAAACTCGGCAAAGAAGTAAATCCTTCTGGCAATGTTATAAAGTGAGTGTCTGTATTCCTACCTTGCAGAGGGGAACCTAAAACTCAGAACGATTTTATATCCTTTGTGGGCTCCTCTTCTACACCTGCTCGTGAAATGCAAGTTTCCTGGACTGTGAACATCATAACTTTCAGAAATGAGGACATTAGTAATTTGCTATTACTAGATCTTTTTATTAAAAGCACCCTCAATGTACATAATTTAATACAAATATACATCTCTTTGGCTTCTTAAGAACAATCAGCAGAGCCAGATGTCTTGAAGGCAGAAGTGTCCCTGTATTTCTCTAATAAGGACTCAGTGTTTCTTTTTTCTTCTCTAGGTTCAATTTTTAATTTCGTATCATTTTATTTTTTAATATTTATTTATTTAGAGACAGAGTCTTGCTCTGTCGCCCAGGCTAGAGTGCAGTGGCGTGATCCTGGCTCACTGCAACCTCCACCTCTGAGGTTCAAGCGATTCTCCTGCCTCAGCCTCCCGAGTAACTGGGACTACAGGTACGTGTCACCATGCCCAGCTAATTTTTTGTATTTTTAGTAGAGATGGGGTTTCACCATGTTAGCCAGGATGGTCTCTATCTCCTGACCTTGTGACCCGCCCGACTCAGCCTCCCAAAGTGCTGGGATTACAGGCCTGGGCCACTGCGCCCAGCCAATTGTTGTTCTTTAAAGATGCATGTATTATGTGTCAAAACGCAATTTCTTTTTCTCTAGGAAAGCAGTTATATGTAAACATTCCATACAAAATTTATATTCCATTCACTGAAAGAACACAAACAAAACAACAAAAGAAATTTATAGGCTGAAAACTGATAAATTGCCCCCTTAAGTTCATCATAATGATTTCCCCTTTAATTATAAATTGTTTGTTCTTCCTTAGATTGGACACAAGATATAGTAATTGATCTCCATGTTGGGGGCAGCTTCCCAACCCATGTAGGACTCTATTATGAATGGGCTACAGGAGTGATGAAACAGCGTTCCGTAGCCCTTTAGGCAACCTGTCTCTGGCTGTTTGTCACCAGCCAGAAGAATCCACCTCTCTTTTACCGCAGCATGCTACTCATCTTTTTGTTGTTGTTTTGAGACAGAGTCTCACTCTGTTACCCAGATAGGAGTAAAATGGCGGGATCTCAGCGCACTGCAACCTCTGCCTCCGGGGTTCAAGCAATTCTGCCTCAGTCTCCCAAGTATCTGGGACTACAGGTGTGCGCCACCATGCCCAAATAGTTTTTGTATTTTCAGCAGAGACAAGGTTTCACCATGTTGGCCAAGCTGCTCTGAAACTCCAGACCTTCAGTGATCCATCAGTCTCAGCCTCCCAAAGTGCTGGGATTATAGGAGTGAGCCACTGCGTCCAGCCTTTTTCTTGTGTGTGTGTGCTTTTTTTTTAGACAGGGTCTCGCTCTGTTGCCCAGGCTGTAACGTAGTGGCATGATCATAACTCACTGCAGCCTTGACCTTTCAGTTTTTCTCCCACCTCAGCCTCCTTGGTAGCTGGGACCACAGGTGTATGCCACCATACCAAGCAAATTTTTGAATTTTTTAGCAGAGATGGGGTCTTCCTATATTGCCCAGGGTGGTTTTGAACTCCTGGGCTCAAGTGATCCTCCTGTCTCACTGTCTCATATATTTTAAAGACAGGGTCTGGGCTGGGTGTGGTGGCTCATGCCTATAATCCAAGTACTTTGGGAGGCTGAGGTGGGTGGATCACCTGAGGTCAGGAGTTCGAGCCCTGCCTGGCCAACATGGCGAAACCCTGCCTTTACTAAAAATACAAAAATTAGCCAGGTGTGGTGGCGGGCGCCTGTGATCCCAGCTAATTGGGAGGCTGAGGCAGGAGAGTCGCTTGAACCTGGGGGGTGAAGGTTGCAGTGAGCCAAGATCGCACCACTTCACTTCAGCCTGGGCAACAAAAGCAAAACTCCATCTCAAAAAAAAAAAAAAAAAAAAAGATAAGGTCTGGCACTGTCACGCAGGCTGGCGTGCAGTGGTGCAATCACAGCTCACTGCAGCATTGACCTCCTGGGCTCCAGTGATCCTCCTGCCTTAGCCTCCCAAGTAGCTGAGACTACAGCTGTGCACAACCATGTCTGCCTAATTTTTAATTTTTTTTTGTGGAGATGGGAGTCTCACTATATAACACAGGGTGGTCTCAAACTCCTGGGCTCAAACAATCCTCCTGCCTCAGCCTCCCAAAGCGCTGGGATTACAGGTGTTAATCACCAACTCAGTCCAAGCTTATCTTTTTGTATGTGTTTTACATGTAAAAGGTGGGAAGCACTGGTTTAGGGAACCGTGTCTTATGGAAAATGGCATTTTTTTATTTTTGAGACAGAGTCTTGCTCTGTCGCCAGGCACCAGGCTGGAGTGCAGTGGTGCGAGCTCAGCTCACTGCAGCCTCCACCTCAGATTCAAGCAATGCTCCTGCCTCAGCCTCCCAAGTAGCTGGGACTACAGTTGTGTGCCACCATGCCCAGCTAATCTTTTTTTTTTCGGTAGAGACGGGGTTTCACCATGTTGGCCAGGATGGTCTCAATCTTTTGACCTCATGATCTGCCTGCCTCAGCCTCCCAAAGTGCTGGGATTACAGGTGTGAGCCACCTCGCCTCACTGGAAAATGGCATCTTTTTAACCACTAGACTGACAATTGGCTCAATGGAACAATGCCATTAAACATAAACATGAGAAACACACAGATATGAAGACCCACTGAGGAAAGCATATATTTGCTTATTTCTGAGTATGCAGAGCTGAATTTCAGTAAGTGAATCTCTAATAGAAATAGATCACTAGCCTGAAGTGGGTTGTGTACCTGTAATGCCAGCTACTCTGAAGGCTGAGGGAGGCTGAGGCAGGAGGGATTGCTTGAGCTCAGGCATTCAAGACCAGCCTAGGAAAACAAGTGTGACTGTATCTCAAAAAAAATAGGAAACAGATCTCCAGGGAAGAGTTAGTGCTTTGAAGTTGCTTAAAGAAAATAAGCTTATCTTTTGTAAAGACAGTCAGAAAGAAGGGACATACTTGATAAGTTCTTGAATATTTTATGTCATTAAATGCTAGCTTTGGTTCTTGATGACAATGGAACCATCATATCAGCTCTGGACTGCACATCCTGGACATCTACCTTATGTAGATTATTGCTATTTAGGTTCTATATAGGCAATGAAACTTTATACACTATGGGTCGTCCTCATGAATTCTTACCACCCACAGATGTTACAGTCACTGTTTTTACAATTGAAGAAGCAAAGTGTCAGGGAGGCAAGTAAGCAGCTTTGAAAAGAGCAAGGAGACACTGTAACAACAGGACTGGAAAGAGACTGAGGCCAAATCACAGAGAATCCTCAATGTCCTCTGACCAGTGATAGACAGCATCAGTGTCCAAGAAAGGTTTTCCTCATAGCTCTATGAGAGATAGAGTAAATTTTGACTAATTTAAAAATTATTATGTTAATCTAAGTACAAGATAAGAGAACGAGTAGAAATCTGCAGTCAGGTAAAAGTGAAAAGACTTTGTGATCCATTGAATGTGATGTGGGAGCCAAGATAAATCATTTTTGGAGTAATGATTCTTTATGTAATAAAAAAAAGATATCTAATAAGACTTAGTGCTCAGCTTTGTACTTTGAAAATATATCAGTTACAATAAATATATTAACATTGAACGCTGCAGAATTAAGTGCCATATTTGTTAGTAAATTTCCATAAATTGTTTCCTTTGGTATGCATGGGCATGGGCCCTGCATTTTGGCCAAAATTCCCTTGGACTAACTTTAACCAGTTGGCATTCTCTTTAATTATTAACATTTCCTGTTGTCTCTGACTCTTCTGTTTCACCTTCCTTGATAAGATACTTATATTTGCAAATTTGTCCTATTTGTATAACCTAGCCCATGCTTGGCACTGAGTCTACATATTTACCAGGAACACAGATTGTCTTATTAGTGCAGATGGCTGCATATACAGAATTTTGGCCAGGTGATAATAAGGAAGTATACCTAGGCCCAAGCAGAACAGACCTAATTATTTCCATGGCAAGAGGGGTAACTGATAATAGCAGCAGTGGGTCCTATGGGTCGATGGTGGGAGGAAGCAGGGAGGGCAAGCACAGAAGACAGCAATCTTGAGGATTTGTGGTAGGAAAATCAGAGATTGAGTCTTGGGTCTAAGAATTTATCCACTGTGTGATTCAGGGTAAGATTATCAATGTTCTGATTTATAAAAGGCATCTAATACCTCCAATGTAAAATTGCTTATAGGGGCTCCATAAATGTTCCTTGAATCTGGATTTCCTATTCTGACCAATTGACCATCTAACTGAAGCAAAATGGATCATAACAACCAAAAACATAAAACTTAGGAAAAATTCCAATAAGCCCAAAAATTTTAAATAAATACCTTATGTTCTAAGATGATAAGATTAAGTCATGTAAATATGCCAGTTGTTATCAAGTTAATTTATAGTAAGAGGGCATGTTTAGTAAAAATGCTAAGAGAACAGCTTCTGGATTTGGAAAAATATATATGAAGAACAAATAGGTAGGAATAAATAAGATTCTGAAAAAGAAGACTAGAGAATTGATGAGAGAAAAAGGTAGTGAGAAAATGCTCTAACAAATATTAAAACAAAAACTCTAATAGTGAAATAGTCTGGGCGTGGTAGCTCACATCTGTAATTCCAGCCCTTTGGGAGGCCAAGGCAGGTGGATCACCTGAGGTCGGGTGTTGGAGACTAGCCTGACCAACATGAATAAACCCTGTCTCTACTAAATATACAAAATTAGCTGGGCATGGTAGCATATGCTTGTAATCCCAGCTACTCTGGAGGCTGAGGCCGGAGAATCATTGAACCCGGGAGGCAGAGGTTGTGGTGAGCCGAGATTGCACCATTGCACTCCAGCCTGGTCAACAAGAGTGAAACTCCGTCTCAAAAAAATAAAAAAAGTGTAATAGGTGAATGGGCACAGATAACAGTATATTCTAGAAGTAGACTCTACTGTTAAATAATAATTCAAGATTAAAAAAGGAATTCCCATAAATCATACTCAATTTATAAGTTTGGGATTTAACACTTTAGGAAAAAACCTAAGTAATGTCTCACCTCATACCAGATATAAAAATTATAGAACTAGAAGGAAATAAAAACAAAGGTTATTATTAAGACTGATTTAAATTTTGAAGGGACAGAAGAGATTACAAAGGTGAAGGCAAGTACTGAAAGATCTGAGTAAAGAATAAAAAGCTGGCTGGACATGGTCAAACCAATAATCAACACTTTGGGAGGCCGAGTGGGATGAGGTGGGAGGACTGCTGGAGTCCAGGAGGATGAGACCAGCCTAGACAACACCAGTATAGACGCCCATCTCTACAAAAAAAGAAATGCAAAAATTAGGTAGGTGCAGTAGTTGTATGCCTGTCATCCTAGCTACTTGGGAGGCTGAGGTGCGAGGATAGATTAGGTCTAGGAAGTTGAGGCTGTAATGAGCTGTAATCAGGCCTGGGCAGCAAAGCAAGACTCTCTTTAAAACAAAAACAAAACAAAACAAACCCTCCCCTAACCAAAATACAGCCAAAATGACGAAGTATTAGTACTACTCTATAATTCAAGCCTTATGCAAATTTGGGGGGATAAACCAACAACAACTAAGCAAATTCCTTGAGTTTAATATACTGGCACATTGAGGTTCTATGTAAGTAAATTTGGCAAGTTTGCTGTGGTAGTTACAGGTTTGGATTTTTAGGTTAATATCTTTTATCTGAAGATGAAGATATACTTATCTGAAGATGAAGATATACTTATCTGCAGTAAAAATAAACCAACAGTAACTAATACAAAGACCAAATGGATCAACTTTGGTCCTTAGATGATTTTCTATAAATATGTGTTATTCAGTAGTATAATGAAAAGTAAATTTAAAAAAATTGGCTACTTTAGGAGGCATGTATATTCTGGCCTGTAGTGTTTAGTTTGTAAGTTGATTACAGGCAAATAAAAAATTCACACTTAAGTAAAAGTTTCAAGAAATACCAGGAAAGTGGGCAGCTTCTTTATTTTTATTTATTTTTAAATTTATTTTAATTTTTCCAGGAGGCCCATTGTCATCAGAAAAAGTATATAGTTTCTAACAGATTTATACATTGGAAGTGGATTTTGCTCCTAATTTCAACATGGCTAATGAAATAATCCACACAGTCTAAAATTCTTCCTCCTCTCTGCCTCTACACATCCTGCAAAAAGGTAAGCAGCTAAAGTAGGCAAGCACTGAATAAATGGCTATGGTCAGCATTGACAAATTAATTGCCTCTGGGAGGCTGAGGCAGGAGGATCACTTGAGGCCAGGAGGTCGAGGCCAATCTAGGGAACATAGTGTAGAATCCTGTCTCTACAAAATAAAAGATAAATGAAAATAAAAAATTAGCTGGGTGCAATGGCTATGAATAAAAGCAAAATAAAGACCTTTAGAAAATATTTTTATTTTCTTAACACACAAAGATAACAATGACATTTGCCCACTAGACAGAGTAGTTCAAGACATATCAGAAATGGATTATCATTCACATGTTACAATATTCATAAACATGACCAGTTTCATGTTTTCCCAATTATCTTTGAAAACTTTTTAAAATACCACAGCATACTAAACTGGCAAATTCATTTCTCATGTTAAAGAGTAATTTTGATTTTGATTAGTGAAAAACCGAGGCATAGTCCATTGCTGAAATCCTTATCCAGCATCACTCAAGTATGAAGCATTCTACCTAAATATTCTTTAGTCAAATGACACCTTTTAAAAATCTAATTCTGTATTTTAACTATTATAGAGGAAATAATGTTTAACATGCTTTCTTAAACTTTAAAATATACCATGCAGAATATAACAATGTTCTTTCATTAATATTCATTAGGAATATGAACCACTTAGTTTTCTAGTGCAACACAATATCCTAAAAATTTACCAACATGGGTATTTGTCTTACTAGAGATAACCCAAAATGGCTAGATTAAAAAAATTCTGAACTTTACATTTTTTTTTGGTCACATTTAACTGTCAGTCATTACTTCTGGCTTTGGTTAAATATGCTGTTTTTCTGTCACCTTTCTTACCTCCCTTAATATCAAAATTAGGGTAGAACAACAAAACTACATAAACCTTTGATGAATGGTTCTCTCAAGGAAAGTCATTGCTTTTACTTGCACAGTTTAGAAAAGGTTATACATTGAGCTAGGAAGGAACTGAAAAAGAAAAGGAAATTTGGAAACCAATGTGTTTACAGATAGTGGTCAGATTACTGTCACAACTGACCTTAAATCTGTAGGATTTAATCTGCTTTAGTTTTGGAAACCAAAAACCTAAGCTAGTTAAAACTATTTCTAAAGCAAAATCAGCTTTGAAGAAGAGCAGGCAGACAATCTTAAATTACATGAGCTTTCAAGCATGAGTATTTGACATCTGAGGCATTTATGTAGCTTTCAAGCATGAGTATTTGACATCTGAGGCATTTATGTAGCTTTCAAGCATGAGTATTTGACATCTGAGGCATTTATGTAGCTTTCAAGCATGAGTATTTGACATCTGAGGCATTTATGTAGCTTTCAAGCATGAGTATTTGACATCTGAGGCATTTATGTAGCTTTCAAGCATGACTATTTGACATCTGAGGCATTTATGTGTTTTTGTTGTCCAGAAATTTTAGTTTGCTGGTTTCCTTCCTTAGTTTTATTTGTTAGTCATAGTTAAGGTTTTGGGTATGTGACCTCTAAACTAACTAAAAAAAAGTGCTACTTTTAAAGTAGCATTCTTTTATTAGCTATAAATGAGCCATGAATATTATATAGCAATGAAAGAATTCTTGCAACTACTTCTTCCAACTGAATGCATAATGATCAAATTTAAGTGTTTTCTTAAGACAAAAACAGTAAAAAAATTCTATCTAGGAAACAAGTTCTATTAAAAAATATTAACTCATGTAAATGTTATAATCCTTTTTCCTTTTATGACTTTGAGATTTTTAAGGTATCTTAAAATAAATTAACATGAAAAACTTCCAATGATTTTATTGAATCTAAAATATCTACTGAATTCATATCCATATTTTATTAAGATTCTTCTCAATGTTAAACATGTCAATGTAGGTTTTGAGTTAATAGGAAATCAGTATCTCTTATGATCTAGCAATAAATTTTTGTACATGAACTAAAGATAGTTGAGTTTTAGAAAACTAATATAACATTCTTTTTTCTTCAATGTTCTACAAATATGACCAACAATATCCATTTTGAAAATGTAAGCTATTTTATAATAGTAAACTGGAACTCAATACTAATTTTATAAACTGTTTTAGGAAATGAATTTCCTAATGCTTTGCATGTTTCCCCATATAAGTAAATCACATAAAATACACTGCTGGCATTCATTATATTACACAAAAATTAATATAACAGTGAAAAAAATGAAAGCATAGTTTGAACATCTGTGCTCCACTTACGAACACCTATTGTAGGTGGAAACTTCTATCATTCACCATTTATTAAATACTTATTAAATGCAGTGAGCATTGTATTAAGAATATTGTAGTAAATGTTGATAACATTAATGAACCACAGCCTATTCAGTATGTTACTGAAGATTATATATGCCACAATTAAAAGCTATCTCTCCATTTCTTTCATTATGTTTTCATATATGTAAAAATACAAGATTACATGATTTTTCTTTTTCAAACTCTAGATTTCTAGGCATTTGAAGAATTATATTTCTTCCTGATTCAAATTGAAACCTACTTCTGTATATTAAAAAAAAAACAATGCTTTTACAAGCTTCCCTAATTGAGCATCAATATTATAATAAATGAGATTTTTAAAATGACTTGAGCCTGTGCATATAAAGCATTTACATATGATGACCTTGCATTCTATAATACGAGTAATGGCATACATAATATCTGTAATCAACTATAAATCGTATAGTGTCTCAAGAATAGTAGCAATTGACCAGGCTTGTGTTTCACAGCTGAAAGGACAGTATTGGGCATTCTCATTAGTCAGTTCTGGAAGTCCTTTCCAAGGGGATCTGAATGAAAGAAAGACATTTTACAAAGACATAATCTAATACATATTAATAAAATAAGAAAGACCTGGTGATTTTTGCTTCTATTTATAGAAAACAATCATATATAGTCATTTGCTACAAAAAGACACAACATCTTAAAGACATACAAATGAATTTAGACTGAAATTATTCTTTGACATTCCATCTTTGGAATTTAAGACTTTTAAATACAAGAAATCCCTTTAGGTATTAAAAACATAGAAAAAACTACCATTACCAGCTATATATAAATATAGAGATAAATACTCTCTCAGGGATAATTTTATTCCTTTTGGAGTAGGTTTATGAGACTCAAATTGTAATTATGCAGATATGTTATATGTGATCTTGATAAAACTATAAACTAAAAGTAATGAAGAAACACTAAGAACTGTAATTGGGGGGAAATGCCATTCCAGAGTACTTGCTACTTAAAGAAAAAAATGCCAATTAATTTCTCATTCTACTGAATAACTAGCTTATTATATATTGCGTGTTTATGTTCTATGCTAGGTGCTTATGTAGATGATGTCATTGAATGTTCACAGTAACCCCTAAGGTAGGCGCCAATGTATTCCTATCTACAGAGAGGGAGGAGACATTTATAGAGGTTGAATCACTTGTTCCAGCCCTCCCTATCAGAGCACAGTGATGACAGCACATCAAATTTATTCTTAATTTCAATGTAATCCCTTAAAAAGGAAGCACAAATTTTAAAAATACAGAAATCTGTAATGTTTCATTTTTAAGTTGGGTTGTGGGAACACATTTATTTCATTATTATGGTTTGTAACTCAGGGCTATATTACATACATGCTTCAGTGGGCATCAAATATTTCATAGTAAAAATAGGAAAACATAATTCCATTAGGTAAAATAGAGTATTTTGGATAATAACTAATATCAGCTAGGTACCATATTTAAAAAACTGTCATAGAAACATGGAAAATGTAGAAAATATAATGTTTCCAAGTATTTAATCTACTTTAGAGTAAAATACCAAATTACTGAAGTTAGATATCTGCATATCTGTAATGTGTGAATTGTATCTCCACAGAATTTGTATGTTGAAGTCCTTACCCCCAGTATTTCAGAATGTGAACTGTTTGAAAATCGGGTCACTGTAGATGTAATTAGTTAAGATAATGCCACATGAAGATTGGAGTTTTGCTGCCACAAGCCACAGGATTATCCGCAGCTAGGAGAGAGGGCTGGAAGAGATCATTCCCTAATACCTTTAGAGGGAGCATGGCTCTGCCCGTGCCTGATTTTTCAGATTTCTGGTCTCCCGAACTGTGAGACAATATTCTACTGTTTAACAATTTATATTACCTAAGTCACTCAGTTTATAGTGCTTTGTTATTGCAGCTCTAGCAAACTAACAGACTACCAAAATTAAGAAACAAAATGAGTTTACAAAATCATGAATATGCTGTCCATAATTAAACTTGAACACTAGGACATGGAATGTATCCATACAAATATAAGGAAGTCTCCTTTCTCTTGCTTTCCTGAAAAAATTCATCCTGAAGTCATTAGGTGGGACAGAGCAAGGCTGGTAACCACAAATGGAGAGAAAAGGGTAACAGGTAGTATGGAGCTGCAGCAGGATGTTAGAGTCCAAGATGTATGAAGAGGGAGTTCACCAAGGGTGAGAGTGGTCCAGAGTGGGTAGTTAGAACCCAAGTGGTGCCAGGAGGGCTCCACACATAGAGGTGGCTTAGTGTGGGGTATCAGGCCCAAGCTGGGTGAGCAGACTCTATGTGGTAATGATAGCCCAGTGTGGGAAGTAGGTTATTCACTGTTGGAAAAGGGAATTACAAATATGGAAAGGGAGAAATATAGAATTAAACACTGAGCATTACATTGAAACTGGTGTGAACTCAGGTTTTCAACACATATAGACAGGACACACAGAATATGTGTATCCTGGTATGTATGTATGTATTTATCTATGTTTATGCATTATCATATATTCCTTAGCCCTATCTACTGGGGGGCATAGTAATAATCAATACACCATGTGCTCAGATCTGGCTTCTAAATAACATTTTCACTATAAAGAACAAAGGCTCCTTAGAGAATAGCCTGATTCCAGGCTTGGGTAGTGAAAAAGCAAAAGATGAGTCTTGAACATATTGCTGGGCCATAAAGCAAGGAAGGACTTCCATACATGACAAACAGGATGACAGAATTTCCCTCCTGTCTGATACAGCTGAAGAACTGGACAAAGTAATAATTCAAGACATTAGACATTAGGCAACAAATAGTGATCCGTGAGGAATGAGAAACAAATGAAGCAAACCCTATGATTACCATACCTGACTGCCTTGAGAGTTTCCAGGATTTGGCACAGAGAGGGGGAACACAGGTGGAGCCTGGCAGACTTCCTTGAGTTGAACTGAGAATCCAGGAACACTACAAAGCAGCTACAATTTGCAGAACAGAGTACTAGAGAGGAGGGAGCTGTATAAAGAAAGAACTCTGAAGATATGCAGAGGGTCCCACTCAAGTATCTATAGTGTACCAATCGGTAAATTTATAAGAGGACACCCCCAAAGAATAAGAAAAGGGTCATCCAAAAGGATGAGAAGAAGCAGTACCTGGCACTCATACAGAATTGGGAACACTTGCTTGTTCATACCAGCCAGAGTTGAAAACATCGTAATTTTCAGGATACAGGGTAGAGACCACAATGGGTCTTAATTCACTAATGGAGAATAATTATTCCTAGACCAAATGCTGTTCTGGTCAGGTCTAACAAGCTTAAAATCAAGACCTGAAAGAATCAAATTGTTTCCAAGTAATTTCATTGCATTCCAAAACAAAACTCAAAAACACGTACAGAAACATCAAAAATCTAGCACCCAACAAGGTACATTTCACATCTGGTATCTGATAAAAGAATGACCAGGCAAATGGCTGGGTGTGGTGGCTCATGCCTGTAATCTCAGCACTTCAGAAGGCCAAGGTGGAAGGATTGCTTGAGCCTAGGAGTTTGAGATCAGCCTGGGCAAGATAGCAAGACCCCTGTCTCTCCAAAAATCAAAAAACAAAAACTACCAAGCAAAGAAAGGGGATGATATGACCCATAATAAATAGAATAATCACAAGCAAAAGAAATCCAGAAATGAATTAGCAGACAAGGATATTAAAAGAGTCACTGTAATTATATTCCATATGTTCAAAACATTAAGCAGATACATGGAAGATATAAAATGACCAAGATAAAACTTCGAGAAATGAAAACTACAATGTGTGAAATGAAAAACACCAGGATGGATGTGATGGTAGGTTAGACATAAAAATGACAGCAGATTTCTTGTCAAAACAATGTAACCACCTTAAAGTATGAAAGAGAAAAATCTCAATTTGAATTCTATACACATGAAAATATCTTTAAAATGAAGGCAAAACACAGATGTTTTACACTTACACGAATTGAAATAATTCATCATGAGGAAAAATACACTACAAGGCATGATGGAGAAAGTCCTTCAGGTAGAAGGAAAATGATATTAGATGGAAATACAGAACATCACAAAAATATGAAGAGCATTGAAAATCGCAACCATAAGAGTAATTCGACTTTTTTCTGTATTATTTAAATATCATTAAAAAATAACTGACTGCCTAAACAAAAGTACTAACCATGTAGTATGGGGGTTATAATATATATAAAGCAAAATGGATGATGATAATAGCACACAGGCCTGGAGGGGAAAAATGAAACTATACTATTTTCTTTGTACCTTACTTGAAGTGGTATATCACTGGAAGGTAAACTATAAAGACATATACTATAAACCTAAAGCAACCATTTAAAATAAGCAAGAATTATATCTAATTAGCCAGCAAAGGAGATGAAAATGAAATAATAAATATTGAATGCAAAAGAAGCACAAAAAGAGGAAAAAGCTAACACGGAACAGACAGAATAAACAGACAACAAACATTTAAATTTCATAATTTTAGTAATCACCTTAAATGTAAATGGTCTAAATAATCCAAAAGCAGAAACTGTCATGCTACAAAAGAGCAAGACTCAATTACATGCTACTATGTACAAGCAATCCACTTTAAATACAAAGACATAAATAGGTTAAAAGGATGGTAAAATCTGTACCATGGTGACAACCAAATGAAAGAAATCGGGAGTGGCTCTATTAATATGAAACACACTGAAGTCCCTTATATACTTGTAAGAAAGGAAATAAAATTGTGCTGTTTCCTCATAATCTGAGGAATAGAATATAGATATACTTATGTATAATCAAAAATTTGAGAAATTAAGATACCCTCTGACTGAATATACTATCTTATAAAGATATGTAACTCTGACACTGTCTATTTGCTAATAATTAGGACAAGGAGGTAAAAAATGGTTTTTGAAATAACAGGTAAAATACCAACTCTGATATTTTAACTATAATGAAAGCATTTCTGAAAACTGTATCTTTTTTTTTTTTTTTTCATTTCATTTAATTTTTTTTAAGATTGGGTTTTTGCCATGTTGGCCAGGCTGGTCCTGAACTCCTGACCTCAGGTGACCCACCCACCTCGGCCTCCCAAAATGCCAGGATTACAGGCATGAGCCACCGTGCCCAGCCGAAAACTGTATCTTGATGTATCTTTAAATCAATTAACTCAAAAGGCCTAGGCTGAGTACCTTCAGTTTTTATGTTTATCCTGTGCTAACCACATCCAGAAACATCAGGTAAATTTAAAAAATCAAAGGCTATTCCACATATATACGTAGCATAATATCAAGACCTCAACTTAAAATAAATAATAACCTAAAATAAGAGAAAGTGAAAATTATATAACAGATTTGTCATGTTAAAGCGTAAAGGCTTAAGTTTTCAATGGGATACCTAAGGCATACAGAAATGAATTCTAAGAAAGTGTAATTTGCCTAATAGCTAATAAACTGACTAAACACTAGTTATGGAAATTACATGCTCCTGATGACTTACCTCTCAAGATGAACATAATGTCGGGAAAGAACATTTTTAACCAAAACTATAGTCTTTGCAGTAGTCTCTGGGCCCATCAATCTGGAAAAATATAATTTTGCACGAAGAAAATACCCAATAGGCCACAACCACTCCTAAAAAAGATTATTTAAAAGTAAAGATAAAAATAACTGTAAATATCTAAAAATTACTTGAAAAATAATTTAAACTGAAACTCGGAAGATAAATGAAATTCTTACAGGTCCTTGGTGATAATTGAAACCTTTAGCAAGATTGTAGTTGTCATTGTCTAATGCATTGTCATAAATTCCACAGTAAACCATATCACTGCAAAATGATTGAAATTCAAGTTAAATAAAAGATGATCAGATATTATATAGAAAGCATTAGAAAAATTTCAATAACAAAGGTAAGAAAAATAATCAATTATTTTGTCTTCTAATCTACAGAATAAGCTCAGCATTAGTACATCATCCATTTAACCTTAAATTAGTAAATACTGAGTTCACAGGACTTTAGTCACGTGTTAAAAATGATTAACAAATACCAGTTAATATAGAAATGTAAAATATTCTGGTATCTTGCCTTAAAGAAGTTAGCCTGGCACTAAATATGGGTTCGTTTAAAGTCAACTATTTCCTAGGCCTCTAATACATTGAGGCCTATCTAATAACTGAAATATACAGAGACTCATTTGAATTAGTAAAAATGAAAGCCATGGTTTTATTAATTATAGATTGGAAAGGTGGTTTTTAAGCTTCTCCATAAAATTATTTTAAAATTAAAATTGGCCTATTAACAGATAACAACTGAATATACATATTGCTTTATTATAATACATAGAACTTATAGCACAGTTATCTATACTCCATTTGTTACTTTTCTTTTTTTTGGAGAACTGGTCACATGAGTAAGCTTTAATTGTGAGTTTTGGTGGTTTTTTTTTGACCAGTGTTTCACTCTGTCAAGCAGGCTGGAGTGCAGTGGTGCCATCATAGCTCACTATAGCCTTGATATCCTGGGCTCAGGTGATCCTTCTGCCTTAGCTTCCTGAGTAGCTAGGACTACAGGTATACACAATCTCTCCTGGCTATTTTCTTTTTAAATTTTTATTTTTGTAGAAATGGCATCTCCTTTTGTTGCCCTGGCTGGTCTCGACTACCTTGGACTTCCAAAGTGTTGAGATTACAGGCATGAGCAATCATGCCCAACCTGAATGCAATTTTAGACATGTTACTGGTAAGCAAAAAAAATTATGGTTGATGTCAATGTATTTGGATTAAATATAATAACATTTTAATACTTATATTCCAACTTACTCTGGATCTAAAGTTTTCATGCCAAGAGGACCAAGCAACTTTTTTTCTGCAATCTCCAAAGCTTTCCATGCTTTTTCTGTAGTAAAGAGCTCAGGGGCCTAGTGAATGTGAAAAACAAATATATAAATTTTTAAGATCACAGAAGAATGAGTTCCTACCCACAGAAACTATTCATAAACTTGAAAGAAATTACTTAAAATACAGTGAGGGTCAGAATTTCAGTGCAGATGCCTAACCAGATGGTAATGCTCTAAGGCTGAGTTAGAAGCACTGCTTTTTGGCCATAGAAGTTAGGAAAGCTTTTAGAGGTGACTATTTCTCTGTGTCACCTCAAGAAAGTTACCTAGCTCCAAAAGGAAGTTGCCACAGCTACACTGAAAGCAGAACACAATTTTATTTTTCCCCTTTGGAGACAGGGTCTCACTCTGTCACCAAACTGGAGTGCAGTGGTGAGATCAGAATTTTAGTCTAAAAGTTCTGAGCAGCCTCAATCTCCTGGCTCAAGCGATCATCCTGCCTTAGCCTCCTGAGCAGCTAGGCAGGCGTGGAAGAACACATACCTTCTCTATTTTACTGCCTTGTAGTTTACTTTTAGACTAAAGTATAGATTAAAAAAGAGAGAGTCTAGAATTCTTTGCTAGACAAAACTAATTGCAGCAATGCAACAAAGAAAATACAATGTTAATTGAAGCTATCCACTTTAGTTCACTAGTTCAGCACTTTCCAACTAGTGTGCTGAGGCACTGGTTATAGTACAGGTGTGCAGGATACAGAGACCCTCACCTTTCAGGGCAGCTGGGTGGGGCCCAGGGCTAACTGAAGGAGTGGATCTGGCACAAGCAGCCTAGTCCATTTAGCCTACTGTTCTGTACAAATATCAAATATTCTTTTCTTTCTTTTTTTTTAATATAGAGGCAGGGTTTCATTATGATGTCCAGGTTGGTCTCAAACTCCTGGGCTCAAGTGATCCTCCTGTCTTGGTCCCCCAGGTGGGATGACAAGTGTGAGCCACTGTATCTGGCCACAAATATCATCTTCTGTGTGCTGTGAATGTGAAAAACTCTAGGAAGCACTTCATTAGTCATCACCCATTATTTTCTGTTTCTGGATACTGAATGTTACAAGTTAAAGGTGATATGCATAATACTTGATTAATTAGAAAAGGCTTTAAAACTAGCTAGTAAGCAATATACTACTTTTTAGCAATTAAGTGAATTTGAAAATGAATGGGAATAAGGAACTAAGTAAACTCTAGCACATTATTTTTTGAAATATAAAAACAAAAACGAATCACCTACCACAACCATTGCTATGGTAAAATTAGGCCTGAGCTGATAGTCACACCAAGGACTTGAAGCTCCATAACTATCTTTGTATATGCCACGTTTGTGAATCAGATTTGGATGCTTTTCATTTAAATCTGAAGGGTCTTCTGAAACATGAAACAGCTTTTCAAAGTTGTCTTGTATTTTTCTGTTCCACTCATCATATGAGACCTTTACAACCTTTCCTGAAAAATAACATAAGATATGGTAGTTTTAATCACTCAAAACAAGTCACACATCTAGTTACAGACAAATAGTAACATTTAGTTTAATTATTTTCATCTACTACAAGGGAATAAATTATCCACTTTTGGAAAGTGTGGCCAGTCTGAATTGAGATGTACTATAAATATAAAATATAAACTGGATTAAAAAGATGCAGCACCACCCAAAAAGAATGTAAAATAGCTCATGAATAATTTTATATCAATTATATGTTGAAACAATATTTTACATACATGCACTGAGTTAAATAAAATGTATATTTTTTTAAAGACAGGGTCTGGCACTGTCACCCAAACTGCATCGCAGTCGTGTGAACTTGGCTCACTGCAACCTCTGCTTCTTGGTCTCAAGTCATTCTCCCACCCCAGCCTCTCAAGTAGCTGGGACAATAGGCTCACACTACCACACGTGCTAGTTTTTGTATTTCTTGTAGACATGGGGTTTTATGTTGCCCAGAAGGGTCTCAAATTGCTGAGCTTAAGTGATCTGCCTGCCTTGGCTTCCCAAAGTGTGGAGATTATAGGCATGAGCCACCATGCCTGGCCAATTTAATAAAATATCTTGTAATCAATTTCACCTGTTTCTTTATACTTCTTAAAATGTGGGTACTATAAAATTAAAAATTTTACATGTGGTTCACATTATATTGGACAGTACTGTTCTAGAAAAAGAGATGTAAAGATTGCAAAATTGCTCACAGAAATGCAAGTTCCTCATAGTCACACTGAGGAAAAAAGACAAGCACAATGAAGGCAATAGCTATGCTGCTTTTTTATCTCAGTTCTATGTTGCTAAAAATATGGTTAGCAATTAGAATTGTTACAATTTTCACACTAGTAAATTAATGAATTTTCTTTCTTCTTAATTTAAGGGTTTTCTAATATTAGCTGATTGAATCAAATGATGATTACATAGGTTGAGAATATACATAGTACATTTGAGAGTTCTTTGTAAATAAAATAATCAGCTTACCATGTCTTTTTACTGTAACTTCATGATAAGGGAAAATATTTTTTTTTGATAATTCCAGCAACCAACGAGCAGCAGATTTACTCAGACCCACAATTTCCACAGCAGACCCATCTCTAAAATTAAAAAACGTATTTTAATTCTCTAAGTTGGAGTCCTTTAAGTACTAAAGTGCATTCCGTAAACAATTGTAATGAATCATATACCATATCATGAAAACTAATAAAAATCCTTATTGTATAGGAATGTACAGTGTATCACATAAAAAATATTTCCTCTTACTGTTTTGCCATTGTCTATCTTCCTCACAAGTTTGTTTGTTTTTTTACTGTACTTTAGGTTCTGGGCTACATGTGCAGATCATGCAGGATCGTCATAGGTACACACATGGCAATGCGGTTTGCTGCCTCTATCCCCCCATCACCTATATCTGGCATTTCTCCCCATGTTATCCCTCCCTGACCTCCCCACTTCCCCACAGTCCCTCCCTTGGCCCCCACAAAAAACCCCTGTGTGTGATGCTCCTCTCCCTGCATCCATGTGTTCTCATCGTTCAACACCCACTATGACTGAGAACATGCAGTGTTTGATTTTCTGTTCTTGTGTCAGTTTGCTGAGAATTATGGTTTCCAGGTTCATCCATGTCCCTACAAAGGACACAAACTCATCATTTTTTATGACTGCATAGTATTCCATGGTGTATATGTGCCACATTTTCCTTGTTCGGTCTATCGTCGATGGGCATTTGGGTTGGTTCCAGGTCTTTGCTATTGTAAACAGTGCTATGAACATATGTGTGCATGTGTCTGTATAATAGAATGATTTATAATCCTTTTGGTATATACCCAGTAATGGGATTCCTGGGTCAAATGGAATTTCTATTTCTAGGTCCTTGAGGAAGCGCCACACTGTCTTCCACAACGGTTGAACTAGTTTACACTCCCACCAACAGTGTAAAAGTGTTCCTATTTCTCCACATCCTCTCCAGCATCTGTTGTCTCAAGACTCTTTTAATGATCGCCATTCTAACTGGCATGAGGTGGTATCTCAATGTGGTTTTGATTTCCATTTCTCTAATAATCAATGATGATGAGCATTTTTTCATGTTTGTTGGCCTCATATATGTCTTCTTTTGAAAAATGTCTGTTAATATCCTTTGCCCACTTTTGAATGGGCTTGTTTTGTTCTTGTAAATCTGTTTTAGTTCTCTGTAGACTCTGGATATTAGCCCTTTGTCAGATGGGTAGATTGAAAAAATTTTTTCCCATTCTGTTGGTTGCCGGTTCACTCTAATGATTGTTTTTTTTGCTGAGCAGAAGCTCTGGAGTTTAGTTAGATCCCATTTGTCTATTTTGGCTTTTAGTGCCAATGCTTTTGGTGTTTTAGTCATGAAGTTCTTGCCTATGCCTATGTCCTGAATGGTTTTGCCCAGTTTTTCTTGTAGGGTTTTTATGGTGTTAGGTCTTATGTTTAAGTCTTTAATCCATCTGGAGTTAATTTTAGTGTAAGGTGTCAGGAAGGGTTCCAGTTTCTGCTTTCTGCACATGGCTAGCCAGTTTTCCCAACACCATTTATTAAACAGGGAATTCTTTTCCCACTGCTTGTTTTTGTCAGGTTTGTCAAAGATCAGATAGTTGTAGATGTGTGGCATTGCCTCTGAGACCTCTGTTCAGTTCCATTGGTCTATATCTCTGTTTTGGTACCGGCCCCATGCTGTTTTGTTTACTAGAACCTTGTAATATAGTTTGAAATCAGGTAGCGTGATGCCTCCAGCTTTGTTCTTTTTGCTTAGGATTGTCTTGGCTATGTGGGCTCTCTTTTGGTTTGATATGAAGTTTAAGGTGGTTTTTTTCCAGTTCTGTGAAGAACGTCATTGGTAGCTTGATGGGGATAGCATTGAATCTATAAATTGCTTTGGGCAGTATAGCCATTTTCACAATATTGATTCTTCCCAACCATGAGCATGGAATGTTTCTCCATCTGTTTGTGTCCTCTCTCATTTCCTTGAGCAGTGGTTTGTAGTTTTCCTGGAAGAGGTCCTTTAATTCCTTTGTTAGTTGTATTCCTACATATTTTATTCTCTTTGTAGCAACTGTGAATGGGAGTTTGCTCATGATTTGGCTGTTAGTCTGTTATTGGTGTATAGAAATGCTTGTAATTTCTGCACATTGATTTTGTATCCTGAGACTTTGTTGAACTTATCAGTTTAAGGAGATTTTAGGCTGAGATTGTGGGGTCTTCTAAATATATAGTCACATTGTCTGCAAATAGAGGCAATTTGACTCTCTCTTTACCTAACTGAATACGCTTTATTTCTTTTTCTTGCCTAGTTGCTTTGGCTAGAACTTCCAATACTATATTGAAAAGGAGTTGTAAGAGAGGGCATCCTCATGTAGTGCAAATTTCAAAGGGAATCCTTCCAGTTTTTTGCCCATTCAGTATGATATTGGTTGTAGGTTTGTTATAAATAGCTTTTATTGTTTTGAGATATGTTCCTTTGATACCTAGTTTAATGAGAGTTTTTAGCATAAAGGCTATTGAATTTTATCAAAGGCCTTCTCTGCATCTATTCAGATAATCATGTGGTTTTTGTCTAGGGTTCTGTTTATGTGTGGTAGATTACATCTATAGACTTGCATGTGTTGAACCAACCTTGCATCCCCAGAATGAAGCCTACTTGATCATGATGGATAAGCTTTTTGATGTGCTGTTGCAATCAGTTTGCCAGTATTTTATTGAAGATTTTTATATCTATGTTTATCATGGATATTGGCCTGAAGTTTTCTTGTTTTGTTGAGTCTGTGCTGGGTTTTGGTATCCAGATGATGCTGGTCTCATAAAAAATTTGGGAAGGATTCCCTCTTTTTGTATTGTTTGGAATAGTTTTAGAAGGAATGGTACTAGCTCCTCTTTGTACGTCTGGTAGAATTCAGCTATGAACCTGTCTGGACCTGGACTTTTTTTGGTTGGTAGGCTGTTAATTGCTGCTTCAACTTCAGCCCTTGTTATTGGTTTGGTCAAGGTTGCAACTTCTTCCTGCTTTAGGCCTGGGAGGGTGCAAGTGTCCAGGAATTTATCCATTTCTTCCAGGTTTACTGGTTTATGTGCATAGAGTTGTTTGTAGTAATCTCTGATTGTAGTTTGTATTTCTGTGAAATCTGTGGTGATATCCCCTTTATCATTTTTTATCGCATGTATTTGATTCTTCTCCCTTTTGTATTAATCTGGCTAGTGGTCTATTTTGTTGATCTTTTCAAAACATCAGCTCCTGGATTTATTGATTTTTTGAAGGGTTTTTTTGTGTCTCTATTTCCTTCAGTTCTGCTCTGATCTTACTTATTTCTTGTCTTCTGCTAGGCTTTGAGTTTGTTTGATCTTGTTCCTCTAGCTCATTCAATTTTGACAATAGGGTGTCGATTTTAGATCTTTCTTTGCTTCTCATGTGGGCATTTATTGCTATAAATTTCCCACTAGACACTGCTTTAAATGTGCCCCAGAGATTCTGGTACATGTGTCTTCATTCTCATTGGTTTCAAAGAACATCTTTATTTCACTGTTTATAAGTTGACATTCAGGAGCCAGTTGTTCAGTTTCCATGAAGTTGTGCAGTTCTGAGTTAGTTTCTTAATGCTGAGTTCTAATTTGGTTGCCCTGTGGTCTGAGAGACTGTTATGATTTCCTCACATGTATTTAAAAAATTCTATTATGTAGAATGGGGATTATGGAATAAAAGAAGGTGGCAGTTGGAAAAGGTAGGAGTAAAGAATCAGTGAATACTGAGATAAAGTACTAGAGAAAAGATAGCAAAAATGAAAAATAGGGGTGGAGAAAGTTAGGGAAGGCAGACACATTAATTAGAAAGCTCATTTTTAAGAAAAATAAAAGGGAAGTACAAGGTCTAATGTACCAAAATAAACATATTTTTAAAAAATTGGCAAAGCATGTAAAGACAATAACTTATTTTTTTATTTATTAATTATTTTTTGTAGAGATGGGGCCTCAATATGTTGCCCAGGCTGGTTTTGAACTCCTGGGCTCAAGCTATCCTCTCAACTCCACCTACTGAAGTATTGGGATTACATGTGTCAGCTACCACACCCAGTCCAGAGTTCTTATTGGACAACTGAAGATAAAATTTAGAATAAGAGGCCAAGTGTGGAGGTTCATGCCTGTAATCCCAGAACTTTGGGAGGCTAAGGCAGATGGATCATTAGAGGTCTAAAGTCTGAGACTGGCCTAGCCAACATGATAAACCCCACCTCCACTAAAATACAAAAATTAGCCAGTATGGTAGTGACTGCCTGTAGTCCCAGGTACTCGGGAGGCTGAGGCAGGAGAATTGCTTGAATCTGGGAGGAAGAGGCTGCAGTGAGTCAAGATCTTGCCCTTGCATTACAGCCTGGGCAATAAAGTAAGGCTCTATCTCTCAAAAAAAAAAAAAAACTACAATAAGAAAATAACTTCTCAGCTTACTACAATATCAGAAGCTATTTTTCTTTTTTTTTTTGAGAGGGAGTTTCGCTCTTGTTACCCAGGCTGGAGTGCAATGGCGTGATCTCAGTTCACGGCAACCTCTTCCTCCTGGGTTCAAGCATTTCTCCTGCCTCAGCCTCCCGAGTAGCTGGGACTACTGGCATGTGCCACCATGCCCAGCTAATTTTTGTATTTTTAGTAGAGACGGGGTTTCACCATGTTGACCAGGATGGTCTTGATCTCTTGACATTGTGATCCACCCGCCTCGGCCTCCCAAAGTGCTGGAATTATAGGCATGAGCCACTGCGCCCAGCCAGAAGCTATTTTAATAGCCATTACTTCATGGTTACAAAGTACATTATTTGGGTAATAGTAATATTAAAAGCTATTTTAATAGCTTCTGATGATGTATCAAGCATTTGAAATCATAACAACTTTTCGAATGACAAATACTAGAAAAAATATTTTTAAAATTCGGAGGAAAAAAGATTCAGAAAGTGAAAGAATTTAAAAAAAAACCAGAATAATTGGTTGTTTTCTATTTGCAAAAGATGGAGATAATGAAATGTTTATATCAATAAGCAGTTCAGGTTATGAAAATGTCTTAACCACTGGGAAAATGAATCATAAATCTTTTTTTTTGAGGTGCTTGTAGAGAATCAACCTGTGAGAACTTATGGAAAAGAACACAGTGTTACTTGATAACTTATATCAAGAGGATTGTGTGCATGTATAATGGGGGAGATGAATGGAGGGAGGCAGGGAAATTTTGATTAATTTAACATAAAGAGTTCATGGTTAATAGAATAAAAAATTCCAGAAGTATGTGTTTTTTTTCTTTTTTTAAAATGGTATAATTACACAGCACTATAAAATCAACACTACCTTGGTGTGGCTGGGATTCCTCTGTTTCTAGCTCTGTCACTTTCTCCCATTTTATCCATCCATGTGCCACAATTGAAACGATTTCCTCCATAAACAAATCCTGTTTCTTCATCAACTCCTGCTGTTATATTAAAACCTAAAAGCCCAAATATGTATCAAATAAAATTTGTATAAGTAATATTATTTTAAAACATTTACAAAATTTTAAATATAATAAATAGGACAACCACTCTGAAATTCAGTTTGGTGATATCTTAAAAGTGGGAGATGTGCATACTCTACCACACAGGAATTTCATTCCTATATCTATTCTAGAGAGCCCTTATTTATGTGCACATGGAGATGTGTAAGAGGATATTCACTGCCACATTGCTTTCATTCACAAAAAATAACCGCTCAGTAGAGGAATGAATAAACACTGTAGTTTATTCATACAATGGGAAACCCTCTATACCATTTGAAATTAATGAAATGGATTTACGTGTATCAAAATGGATTAAGTCTGAGCTAAATAATGTATGTACACGGGCATAGAGATTGAAATAATAGACACCAGAGACTCAGAAGGGTGAGAGGATAGTGACAGATGAGAAATTACTTAATGAATACAATGTACATTATTTGGGTGATGGTTATACTAAAAGCCCAGACTTCACCTTACCAATATATCCATGTAATAAAACTGCCCTTGTAAACCTTAAATTTATACAAAAAGATAAATATCCAAAACAAAATGATTGAATAAAACAAATCACAAATGGACATATATAGTAAGATACCTTTTTTGTAAAAGCTTATTATAGAGAATACTGATATATCTAATATCTGTGTACAATTTCAAAACATAAATTTATTATAGTATATATTATAGTACACTGAATATATGCTATGTAATATATAGCATAAGTAATTTACACATACTCAAACACACATAAGTACACAAAGCCCAGAAACTTCTTGTATAAAAAAGGGGAGAAGACTCATTTTTCCCTGATCTTCCTCTCTTAAGTACAACTAAAATCCCTGAGCATAATACACTGGACTATCATAAGAGGACTCTAAAAGTGTAAAGAGGAAGGCATGTTGACTAGGAACCTGAAGACTTGAAGAATGTCACAGTGGTGAGTTCCCTGCCTTTTTTTTTTTTTAATTCTCCGTATATACCAGTCTGGGTGGGAGGTTGCCTTGGAAAACAACCTGCAATCTCCAACAGGTACTGACAAAAAGTTCCAAGAAAAACCAATTTACTCTAGCCAAAGAAAAAGAAAGAGGGACCCTGACCAGACAGAAACCTTTATAACATCTGCTCTATGCCAGCAAATACCATGGATGTCCTTTCCCCATGGAATGTCAGTGGAGGCTGAGTGGAGGCCTGGACTCCTATCCCCCAAATGCGGGTAGCAGATGGCTCAAGGCAGCACTCCCCTTCCTCAGCAGTGTGGTACCCACAGACACCATGAGGAGAGTCTAGGGAGTGTGATCTTCTACTCCCAACCTGGCAGTAGTAGGTGGCCTTGGGGCGGTAGCAGGCAGCCCAGGGTGTTTCCCACCCCTGCTGCATGATGTTAGCACAAACTAGGTGGGGAGTATGGACTTTCAACTTCACCCACTGGGAGTAGGTGGTCAGAGACAGCATTCCTCTCTCCTGACAGCATGCTGTCAGCAGAGACTGAGTGGAGAGTCTGGATTTCCATGCCCTACTCAGCAGTGATGGGGTGCCCCCTCACACTCCCAACTAGGGAAGACCTGAAGAGGAGGAAGCTGCAAAAAAGGATGCTGTACAGGAAGTCCTGGGCAGACTCTGATCAGTCTAAATGTGAAACAGATGAGAATTAACACTCCCACAGGTTTGAGAAGTAAACTACAGTGTGGAATTCCACTCAGGTTTTCTGAGTGGCCTCCTGATAGCCCATGAATGAAGCAGACCAGAATAATGTTGCTAAATATTAAATTGTCACTGAAACTACAGCCCACAAGAGTAGGTCAGAAGCTGCATACTAAACCTAAACGATGACCACTTGGTAAAATGAAAGATTTCATAGTGTCCTATAACATAATATCCAAAGGTCTGGGAAAACATGAAAAATGTTTTGTCAGGCCAAGAACCAGGAAAATCGCAACCTGAATGAGAAAAGGCAATTAACAGGTGACAACACTGAGATGACTCAGATGTTAGAAACATCTGACAGAAAAGCTTAAGGAAGGTATCACAAAAATGCTCCAAAAAGAATGATGCCTGTAGAAATAGAAAACTCCACCTTGAAATAAATATGGAATCGCCAGGGACCCTGAATAGCCAAAACAATAGAAAAAGAACAAGATTAGAAGACTCATGCTTCCTCATTTCAAAACTTACTACAAAGCTACACTAAAACAGTGTGGTTCTGTCATAAAGACAGACACAGAGACCAGTGGAATAGAGAACCCAGAAATAAACCCTGTATATATGGTCACATTTTTTTTTGACAAGGGTGCCAGGACCATTTAGTGGGGAAAGCACAGTTTTTTCAGTAAACGGAGCTGAGTAAACTGGATATTCACATGCAAAAAAATGGACTTGGACTTTATATCATATACAAAAATTAACTCAATATGGACCAAAGACCTAAACATAAGAGCTAAAACTAAAAAGTAGATAAACTGGACTTAATAAAAATCAGACGCTTCTGTGTATCAAAGGATACTTTAAAGACAGTGAACAGACAACCCACAATATGGGAGAAAATATTCGCAAACCAAATCTTATAAGTGTTTCGTATCCAGAACATACAAAGCACCCTGCACCTCAACAACAAAAACTCAGAGAACTCAATTCCTCCCCTCAATTCAAAGGATGTGAATAGACATTTCTCCAAAGAAGATATATGGATGCCTATAAGCACATTAAGAGATGCTCAACATCAAAATACAAGAACCAATATTTCAGCAAAGAGGGAAGATGGATGGCAAATGAGCACATGAAAAGATATTCCACATCATTAGCCATTAGGGAAATGCAAATTAAAACCACAATGTCCAGCCTGGCCAACATGGTGAAACCTCATCTCTACCAAAAAAAAAAAAAAAAGAAAAAATTGCAAAAAATTTGCCACGTGTTGTGGCATATGCCTGTAGTCCCAGCTACTCGAGAGGCTGAGGTACAAGAATCATTTGAACCCAGGAGGCAGAGATTGCAGTGAGCTGGGATTGCGCCACTGCACTCCAGCTGGGGGACACAGCAAGACTCTGTCTCAGACTCTCTCCAACCCAACACACAGTTTGCAGTGGTCTATGAAGCTATCATAACAGCTTAAAAAAAACTGGTACCACCAAATGCTAGTGAGATGTAGAAAAACTGTATCTCTCCAGTTTGCTGGCAGGAATTTATTAAAATGGTAAAACCACTCTGGAAAATAGTTTGCCAGTTTCTTCTAAAACAAAACTTATTATACGAACCAATCCCATTCTTGGACACTTACCCCAGAAAAAATGAAAAGCTATGTGTCACACAAAAACTTGTACATGGATATTCATAGTAGCTTTATTTCTATTAGCCAAAACATGAAAGCAACCTAAATGTCCTTCAATGGATGAATGGTTTGGATAACTGATTAAATAAATACTGGTATATCCATAAAAGGGAATACTACTCAGCAATAAAAAGTAATAAACTATTGATAAATGCAACAATTTGGATGAATCTTAAGGGCATTATGCACAGTGAAAAAATCTCAAAAGGTTATATAGTATATGGTTTCATTCACATAACATTCTCAAAATGACAAAACTATAGAGTTGCAGAACAGATTCGTAGTTGCCAGAGACGAGGGCGGGGGGTGGAGTGGTTAAGTGTGACCATAAGAGGGTATACAATGATCTTTATGGTGATGGACCAGTTCTGTATCGATTATGGCAGTGGTTACACAAAGCTATACATCGGGTCAAACTGCACAGATCTACATATACACATATACATACATGAGTGAATATAAAAACTGGTAAAAGTTGAAAACATACGAATCTCAATTTCCTGATTTTGATGCTGTACTGGATGAAGAGTTCATGGCACACTATATCATCTTTTCAACTTCTTATAAGTCTAATTCTTTCAAAATTACAAAATTTAAAAAATCCCACATGAACATAAAACAGTGCATGTCTTACAAAATAAATATACAATAAACACATTGGAATGACTCTCTAAGGGGAATGGAGAATAATATGAAATAAATTACTATTAGCTTTGCATTGGCTGGCAATGATAGTATGCCATGAGATGAGGAATAGGATGAACTCAAGAGAAGTTAGAAAAGCACATTTATTTTAATTTCATATACAAATAAACCTTTCTACAAAAAGTATTTTATAAGAGCCTAGACTCTTGAGACAGACTATGAGTGACGTCTATGTAGCCTTATGACTCTGGGTAAGCTACTCTGCTTCAGTCTTCATTTAGTAAAAAATGGAAACAGTATCACTCATTCCCAATGTTTTGGGAAGTGTTAAATGGTAATAACATAGGTAAGGTAGTTACCACAATGCCTAGCACATGGTAAGCATGCACTTCATGGCGATTATTATTATGATTATAAATGAAACCACCAAAATTATCTTTCAAATTGGCTGACAAAAGATATAAAATTTTATTTTTCCTCTAGAAACTAAAAACTTGGTGAGATCAGGAACTATGTTAACCTTTTTCATCATTATATTGTGATGTTTTGCACACAAATATTTATTAAGTGAACAATTACAAGGTTTAATTTCATCAACTCGATAAATCTTTACTACTATAGTTAAAGTTCTGTACCTTCGTCCTTCATGTTTCGATCTATCTGGGGACCAGCGTTCCTTTCTCGGAACTGTATGCCTTGCATGTGTCTTTGCACAGCTTCCTGTATTACTTCAAACAATGGTTGATCCTGTTTGAGACACAATTATGTTACCTCTGTTAGAAATTACATTTTTCTTATCTTCCCCCAAATCAGACAAAGTAATGTGAAGACTTTCCTTTGGAGAGAGAAATAGGAATTGGGGTGAGGCCAGGTTAGAAGCAGCTCCTATATGCCAAATAATACAGACAAGCATACAAATATTTAACATCAGATTCGACTATTCATGTCTGTGACATAAAATAACTTGCTGATACACAAAAATGAATCTAGTGAGCTTGTACAGTTTCTATTGGAGTGATCTGTTCAGCTAATAAATAAACCTAGCTTGTCATCCAGCATCTGAATTTTAAATTGGCATTGCTATTCTTACTCATCTGCATACACAGGTAATGGGGATAAATTATGTGCTAAAGGGGAACTCTCAAATTTGAGGATCCATAATGACTTTTGAAAATACCCCCATGAATGTAAAGAATTAGTAAGTCATTTTCTTTACTCATATAAATAATACATGTGATGCTCAGGATGACATTTGGGGAAATATACAATTATATATTTTTAAATAAGGTAAAGAATGTTAAATAGAAGCAAAATGTTTAGAGTCCTTACATGTTTATTATGTTTCATTTTAAAGACTCTGCAAAAAACCAAAACTCTATAATATAAAAATTATGCTAGTAATTATAAAAATTATAAAGCTGTGAAAAATTATTTTTTGATGAACTGTGAGAAAACGAATAGCTATGTGTGTAAAATAACTACCTGCCTGATAGCATGAACCTATATTCATTGTAACAGAAATGTCAGTCCATAATAGAGGACAAGTAAAAAAAATTTTGGACAAATGTTCTTTGAGTACTTCATGATATAAATAAATATCATTAGGACACAAATATATGCTAGCCCTGAAATAGCTTACACAGCTACTATCCGCTCCCCACCCCTGAATCATATATACCAAACAAACTATTAATTTAAAGGCAGAGCAGAAGAGGCAAAAGTATAGTATTATTGTCCAGTCTTGACTGGGGAAAAAAAAACACTAAAAAATGTCTAGCCATTCTTCACTGTTGTTCATAAGATAATCTTTCAACTCCCTGGATTGGTAGTCAAGGTTCTCCATAACCTGGGTCACCCTTTCCATAATCTCTTACTACCCTGCAGGTACTCTACCACAAAAAGCCAAACCAGATTGACTTTTTTATAAAAAGTATTTTTTAAGAGCCTAGGTGCTCATAAAAGTATTATAAGTACTATGCCCCCTAAACTGTGCTTCAATCCACTATGCAACCTTATTATTCCTTTCATTTTTTTCTTTTAAAGAGACTGGTTTTGCTATGTTGGCTAGGCTGGACTCATACTCCTGGCCTCAAGTGATACTCCTGCCTCAGCCTCCTGAGAAGCTGAAATTACAGGTGTGTGCCATACCCCTGGCTTCTTTTCATCTCTAATGTCTCCCAACAACTTTCCCCATCTCTCCTAAAGTCCTACTCACCTTCTATGGCTCACATAGGTAAAATTTTAGCTATGTTCTAAAGTTCTCCCTGAGATCCACCTACTGTACCTTCTCTCTCTCTCAAGAAACAACACGACACTTCTACACTTTATTGAAATGACCATAATTATATGCACATTATCATCTCTTCTACCATGTTGCAAAGTTCTTTAGGTAAGGACCAGTGATTTATAGTACCAGCAGGTGCCAAATCAATACTGACATTTGAATAATTCTTAACACTTGGATTCTTAATTACACTTACTTTTACATTAGAAACTAAAAGTCATTCCTTAGAAAAATTATTTTAAGAAATGATCTTTACCAGTGTGCCAGCAGGCAAAGGAGCAGAATCATCTGTAGGATACATTCTGGAAACTGGACATTTGAGAATGTCTAGACCATTTGGAACCATTTTACAGTAATCCTGGATACACTGTAGCCACCACCACACAGCATCCCGACAATTGTATCTGGCATAAGTTCCTTCACCCAGGAGATTAGGAATGAGACCATGCCTCAGGGTACCAGCAAATGCTAAAATAATATTCCTAAAACAACAGAATTAAATGGATCAGAAATGAAAAAAACATAAAAAACTGAAGACAAAGACCAGTCACTTTTAGTGATTATATTTTGAATGCACATTTTCTCTCTTGCCCTATTTCTTTATATTTTCATGTAGAAAGTTGTCATAATATGATAGAGTAAGCACTCAAAGTCAGGAACCTTGAATCTAGCCTAGAATTTTATGCTAACAATCTGTGTGTCTTCCCTCTCTAGTATAGTTTTCTCATCTGAGATTGGACTGGGTGATTTTTAAGGTCTCTCATAGCTCCAGACTCTACTTTTGAAATCTATGGTATTTCAAAATCGAAGTAACTATTAAACATGAACCTTATTATTTTAAATAGCAGAAACCAAGAGTAAAACAAACATATGAGAAAACAAACTGGCCAGGCATGGTAGCTCACATCTGTAATCTCAGCACTTTGGGAGGCTGAGGCGGGTGGATTACCTGAGGTCAGGAGTTTGAGACCAGCCTGGCCAATGTGGTAAAACCCCATCTCTACTAAAAATACAAAAATTAGCTGGGCATAGTGGTGTGTGCCTGCAGTCCCAGCTGCTTAGAAGGCTGAGGCAGGAGAATTGCTTGAACCTGGGAGGCGGAGGTTGTAGTGAGCTGAGATTGTGCCAGTGTACTCCAATCTGGGCAATAGAGTGAGATTCTATCTCAAACAAACAAACAAAAAAAGAAAACAAAGAAAAAAAAAACCAGATGAAGCTGACCTTGAAAAACCTAATTCAATCAGTTTAAAAACTGGTAGAAGACAGTTTATTTTTAAAAGTGTTATTCTACTGTTATATACCAAATGACAATTCAGTTTATAAGAGAGCATGGCACTCTAGAAATAGCATGACATTAAGAAATAAGAAGGTTGAAGTCTAAATCCTTGCTTTGTCATCGGTGTGACCTTGGAAATGTCATTTAAATGTCTAGATCTTACTGCTTTTTGGTTAGACCATTCAGAAATTTTATTAATTCTATGTCTCAGTTTAATGCCCACTTTAATCTTGAGTCCACCTCAGCCTCCCAAAGTGCTGTGATTACAGGTGTTAGCCACCACACCTGGCCATAGTACTAGCACTCTAACCATCTGGAACAATCCTGTACGCTTCAGTAAAATGACCTCTGATTTGTGATTAACTCTATAGAAGGAAGAAGCAGAACCATCTGTAGTAGAGGTATGTGTCCACTAAAATGAGTTTTCTACAATTCCCAACCAATCTTACAGTTGGCTGTGGCCAGAACTGATGCACGTTAAGTTTATGGAAAATAGGTGTGTTTCCCCCAGCTCTCTCTCCCTCTCTACTTGCCTTCTGGAGAAGCTGCAGAAGCCATGGAAGCTGAAAGATCCTCAAGCTGGAAGAAACCTGCATCCCTGAATCAGTATGTGGAAGGCTACTTACTGAACATGCATCTAAGACTACAAGGAAGAAATAAATTTTATTTATGAAAAGCCATTAAGATTTTAAGTGTTTATAATTTATGGCAGCTAGGACTACCCTAACAAATATCCTCTGGGATAATATAGTATTCTCTGGGAATCACCTCTAGCTCAGGGGTAGGCAAACTTTTTCTATAAAGGATAATATTAGTAAGTATTTTAGGCTTTGTGGGACATATATGGTTTCTGTTGCATATGCTTTCTTCTTATTTTAAATGACCTTTAAAAATGTAAAAGCTATTCTTTGCTCACAGGCCATATAAAACAGGCGACAGGCCATAGTTTGCTAACCCATAATGTACATAGTTCTATACAAAGTTAAGCAGCAGAAATTTGTGATAGTGCATAGAAGTGATAATTGGAAGCCAAAGAACATCAATAATGATAAAAACATTTATAAAATGTTTAGCATGTGGCAGATATTATTTTAGACAGCTTAACTGTATGTGTTAAGTTGATCTTCACAAACACCCAGTAAGGTAATTTGTCAGTTGGTAGTTTGGAACCAGGATTAAAAGCTGGCAGTCTGGTCCAAAGCTCAAGTTCTTAACCACTGTACTAGGCTGAATACTGATGTTCCATTTCCTTCTTCTGAATTGGTAATTCAGGGGCATTTAGGGAAGAAGCAAACAGCTTCCCAAATTTCTATAGCTCCATGATGATAATAAGAGAAGGTCTTATTATATGTCAGATTAGCAAAAATGCAATTCATTTCAGATGCCCACCTAAAAACTTCAGTTTTAAAAGTATCAAAAATAAAATTTTTGGTATATAAAGATGCAAACTTCAATTAATTTCCAGATGGCATCAAACAGGGTATCATATAAATGCCTTTTTGTTAAAAGTTTTGGCTTTTAGAGCAGTGTTTTCAAACTTCAGTGTTAGACTGTTGATAATCATCCGGAGACCTTGTGAAAATACATATTTCTGCCCACCAACCCTACTCTCTCTATTCTCCAGCTTTGGATTTGGGAGGTCTGGCATATGGACCAAGAATCTGCATTTCTAACAAGCCCTCAGGTGAGAGTGATGAGTGGAACTGATGTGTGGAAGGCACTTTGAGTGGCACTGCTGTAGCGCTTTCCTTTTGACCTCCAATAAGTTCATTCATATTTTTGTGACATAAGAAAATAACATTTTAAGTCTAGAAAACATAAAATTAGAGACTATAAGGTTTTACAACAAATAGAGGAAAACTTGATATAATTCTATAAGATTCAGAAAAAGAACTAGCAATGCATTCATTATAGAAGGCATAAAAAGGTTATAACATTTTTAGTTTTGTTGAAATAAATTAGCTAATGCTAAAGATAACCTGACTTGTAATATGAAGGACTAGAACTTAGTGACTTTCAAAGGTTTTCACTCCTTTGAAATTCTATGATCCTAATAAAGTGAACATATACAAAGTAAAATAAAAACACCTAAAAAAAATACAGCTCCCAAATGTTGAGAATAGATGTCTAAGAAGGAAAGTTTGAAGAGCATATAAAAGACATTCAGACACAAACTCGCAGTGCAACACTTCAGAGGATCTCCTACCTGGCTTCTACATAGCGTCCAGTAATCAGCAGTATACCTCTAAGTGCAATAAAAGTATCTCTTCCCCAGCAGCGGAAAATACCAGAAGAAAAATGAGGTAAGCCTAACAGAAAACACAACAAAGTAATATGTTAATCATAATAATATACACAATTATAGAACTGAAACAGAGTTTTATGAATGTTTCATGAATATTTTTAATGGAAAGGTAATTTTCATTTAAGTTGTTGGGTATCACTAAGTCTTTTTATTTGGTCTAAGTAGCTGCAAATTTAAGGGTAAAAAGAGGGAACTGCACAGATAATACTATTTCTTTCTTCCTGTAATTTGATGTTTTTCAGTTTAGTTTGGAAAGTTCTAAACTTCAGTGGCCTCAAATACTAAGTAGTTCCTAGAAATATGCTTGAAATACACTAAAAAGAAAACAAAAGCCTGTCCTTTAGCCTATTTTGCTTACTTGAATTTGTCATGTGGGTTTTAAATCTACTTGGAATAAAGGATGCCAATAAATATTTTTGAAAGGATTTGATTGCAATTAGATACATCATAAAAATTATTTAACATCTGTTTTGTTTTATAACTTGTAGGGATCTTTACATGATCTCCTGATAGTAACGAGGTCAGGATTATTTTTTTAAATTGGGGAAAAATATAGAAAAGAGGATAGTAAAATTAATTTGATTTTAGAAAACACAAAATGTCAAAAGTTGGAAAAAATAGAAACTTGAAGAATCAAAAACACACAAAAATGCCTGGTGCACAGTTATAATTAAACAGTGAGCATGATTATTATTTTTATGAGAGAATATCTATGAAATGTACTAAGTGGTAAAATAAAATCTTGAGTAACATTACAATCTTTTAAAAAAATAATCATTTTCCTATAACTTTTCCTCTGTGAATACTATTGATTTACATATTTTAACCTTGTACATAATTCCTTACCTGCAGCTAGAGAAACACAGCATTGCTCCTTTTCTTTTGTGATCTCATTTAGCCTATAAGGTACATCCATAAGTGCAGGTGAAAGAATTGGCAGGCAAGGGAATTTTCCTACTCCACACATTTGAACTGAACCCAATGAAAGGTGTTTCACAAAAGTTGAACCATTCTGAACAAAGCTGTAATAAAAGTGATGGAATTTATTACTTGTAGAAATACAATAATTTTTAGTAGTTTTATTTTACTTGATTTCTTTCCTTCAAATGATTTTTCTATATAAATCTGTAACAATGGTAATATTAGTTAAAATTTCTTAAAATTTGGTTAGATTTCAAAACTGTTTTCATTTCACCCATTATTTTGGCTGGCCTACAGTCCACAGATGGTTGTAAAACAAATGGTAGAAATGAAGTTTTGTTCTTCTGCAATTATGTCCTAATCAATTTTATGGCTCTCACTAGTATACTTAAATTTGCAGTTTTGTTTTAGGGAATTCAACACTAAAGGCAAATTTCATTCATAATAAGTGGAATATTTTTTCCCTTAATTGAAAAATTAGAAAAATTATGATGTATATTTCAGAAATTTCATTAACTCAAGTCAATGAATACATAGAAACAATATAAAACAATATTCTTATCAATATGTATTATTAGATTTTAGAACAGGTTTTATAATATTCAAGTTTGTTTTTGTATGCTACACAGACTAAACGATGCTAATAAATTTACTATCCACCTACAAGCCTTTTCAGCTCTATGACAATTCATGGTTTGGTTTTTTAAGAATATTTATGAAGTGACTCTGTATATAGTTTCTACACAAACATGCCTATTTATTTAAGCTCTGTTGGATGTACCTTGACATCTGCTTCCATGCTATATCCAGAAGAGTGGTATATGCACCAATTAATATAGCATCAAAGTAACATGGGATAAGATAACGTGGGATCTGCTTCAGGTAGAAGAACATAGCCTGCAACCATTTCCCAACCTGGAATAAAAATCAAAATAATTTTTAAAGTTAATTTGGTATGTGTACAGGCCAGGTATATTTTTAGAGGTAAATCTAAATATACAACTTTAGTAACCTACAAACCCAATTTCCATTTATTAGAACTGAGAGATGATGAAGAAAGGAGGAAAAATGGTTCTGGCTAGAAAACAATGTAAATATTATATATAACCTGGTAATATTTCTCATCATGTCCTTGATTTTTAGGAACTATAATACAGCTCTACTTACTTCAGCAATAGTTCCTGATCGTGAAATAAGCCGGTTACAGACATAGTCAATCATCCAATCTCCAGATCTCAAATTATTACAAAAAGGATGCCCCAAGTCATTCTTTGGTCTTATTTCTGCCAATACAGACATTAAACCTGAAAATTCAGAGACATGTAATGCTGTATTATTGGTAATCGATTTGTTCCTATATCCTCTAGTCCCTACTCTGCTAGTCTCTATTCTAGTGATTTGGGGTAAACATGTATTAGAGGCAGACACAAGGGCGGTCCAGTCCACAATGGCACTTATATAGTTGGAGATAAGTGTGGCAATACTGGCTTGAGCCAAATTACAAAGGCATACTGAAGTGGGTGATTGTCACAAGAGATATAAAGAGCTTTTCAAGATTCATAACTTCTGGGACTGGTCTTATTCTTTTAGATTTTAATGTTATAATAGTCAAGGGTAACTGGTATGGCCTCCCTGCCTAAAGGCATTTCAAGAAAGAAATGTGGGCCGGGTACAATAGCTCATGCCTGGGTGGCTCATCCCAGCACTTTGGGAGGCTGAGGCAGGCGGATCACCTAAGGTCAGGAGTTTGAGACCTGTCTGGCTAACATGGTGAAACCCCGTTTCTACTAAAATTACAAAAAATTAGCTGGGCATGGTGGCACGTGCTTGTACTCCCAGCTACTTGGGAGGCTGAGGCAGGAGAACTGCTTGAACCTGGGAGTTGAAGGTTGCAGTGAGCCAAGATTGTGCCATTCCACTACAGCTTGGGCAACAAGAGCAAACACACACACACACACACACACACACAGAGAGAGAGAGAGAGAGAGAGAGAGAGAAAAAGAAAGAAAAGTGATAAGCCTGTGTTTTTTCATGTTGAAAACTAGTGGGTTCATTAATATTCAGGCTAGATTTAAGGAAATCATAGAACTGGTTTCAGAGAGAGCAAGAATATCTATGGAGATAATAAGAATAAAGCATGCTTTGGAAGGAATTGTTTAAATTTAACAGGAGGCACTTAGAACTAAGTGAAGAATCAAAGTGAGGGTGTGCATGTGTGTGTGTGTGTATACGCTTAATCCTTCTAGTCTTCAATTAGAAGCATTAGAATTTCTCAGATTTTACTGCTTCAATGATACTACCTTAAAAATTATATTGGCATCACTGACTTCATTTAGACTATGTTTATTTATCTATAATTGAATGAATTTTATTATGTATGTAGCATGTTTTGAGAAACTAAAAAATATGTAAATTTAAGATAAACTTCTTTCCCTCAAGGGTCACAATCTGCTTTGGGGAAGCAAGCTTAAAACATAAAGATATTGGGAAACAAGACTAAAGAATAATATTCTACATACGTCCTAGCATTTTCATGGATGGCAGCTAATGCTCGGTAAATGTTGGTCTCACTGTTGAATAATGCAATGACATAAAAACAGTGTTTTAGATACAGATCTGATGATGACCAACGGAATGGAATGATCTGTATATGAGGCAACAAGATTTGAAAAATTGGTTAGCTGGCTTTGTATGTAAGACTTAGTCCTAGAATAGAGTGAAAACTGTGGAAATAAAAACGATATGGTATACCAAAGAGAATATGAAAAAGAATCCACAAATCATAATGACTGATTGGATATTGAGGATGAAAGGAGCAGATCCAAAACATGACTCCTGGATTCCAACATGACTAGATATACAGTATTATAAGGAGGGAAATACATTTTGTTTAGGGGAAAGAAAGGTCAACAAAGTAGTTAAATCTTATTTAATCTGAGGCTTCTATTAGCAGCCTGCTGGAAACAATTATGTGGGTTACTGAAAATATTAAATGATCAGAGGGAAAAGGGATTGGTATAAAGCAGCAAAAATAAACAGGTAAGGGCAATTCTACTTAGAAGAAGAAGAATTTCATTAGAAAGATAAGGAGAATTAGCAAAGAGCAAAACTTAACTATAAGAAAAACAAAGGCTAGAAAAAGAGCACACAAAAGTTTGGTCTTTTTAACCAACTAGAAGTAGTCTAACAACTCAGAGTGAAAATGAAGTGATTATTTAAATCTGGTAACATATATACATCTTTTTAAAATTAAATTTAATTAACTAATTTTATTTTTTGTTCTGTCACCCAGGCTGGAGGGCAGTGGTATGACCATAGTTTGCTGCAGCTTTGAACCTCTCATGGGCTCAAGTGATCCTCCTCCTGCCCTGACCTCCCAGAGCATGAGATTACAGGTGGGAGCCACTGTGTCTGGCTCACATACACTTCTTTATTACTCACAGAACAAAACATTTTGTATTAAAAATGAGAATATTTTAGAAAAAAAAACGTAAGTCCAAAACATCTCAAAAAACTTTATTGAGAACCGCTTATGTGCTTAGTTTTGTAGGAGATACAAAAGCTAAAAAAAAGACCCATAAAAAGATAAAACTTAACATTCTTATTTCTCAAGGTATACTGCCTACTTAGTGTGGTTTTTCTTTTGTTTTGTTTTGTTTTTTGTTTTTTGAGACAGAGTCTCACTCTGTTGCCCAGGCTGGAGTGCAATGGCGTGATCTCAGCTCACTGCAACCTCCACCTCCTGGGTTCAAGCAATTCTCCTGCCTCCGCCTCCCAAGTAGCTGGGACTACAGGAGCATGCCACCATGCCTGGCTAATTTTCGTATTTTTAGTAGAGACTAAATATGGGGTTTCACCATGTTGGTCAGGCTGGTCTTGAACTCCTGACCTGGTGATCTGCCCACCTCGGCCTCCCAAAATGCTGGAACTACAGGTGTAAGCCACTGTGCAAGGCCTTAGTGTGGTTTTAAAGCTAACAATTTCCAAGTACTTAGTATGAACTAGGTGTTGTCTAATGTGCTGTTCACATGTATTAACTCATTAATCTTAACCATAATCCCTTGTAGTAGGTACCATTCTGCAGAAGAGAAAACTAAGCCATAGAGCATTTACTTCAGGTTATAAAGCTAGTCAATATAACACAGGAAATCTGGTTTTAAAGCCTGTTTCTTAATCACAATGATAAAGATTCACAAAAATCATTATACTAATTATCCAAATAAGGCAATGTATTTCAAGGGCCAAGTAAGAGGTATAGAAAATAAATGCAATAGGTCTCTGGAGGACAAAGAAATTACTGTAAAAAGCAATAGTTAAAGAAGGTTTTATGACAGATGTAAGAATTATAGTCCTTAAATATGGGTTAGATGGACAAAGAGATAAAGAATTGAACAAAAAGCGTAAGTAGAAAACTATATGAACAAGGAATACAGGTGTGACAAAGCAAATTTCTTAGATAAACATCTAAGGAAATATTACCAACTAGATGAATTAAACTGATAAACATTTAATTCCTTTAACTAATCTTATAGCTACTCTATATTTTACTATGTTATCTTTATAGGATAAAATAAATATGCCACAAAATGTATTTCCAATTAGATTTTTTAAAAAGATGAATGGATTATATTTACAGCCTAATCCCACTTGGGGTCCAAACAAGTATATTCTGTTTTTTCTTATATAATAAACCAGGTCAAGAAACATTAATTAAGGTCCAAGTATGCATAAAGAGCTATAAAGACCTTAAGGAAAGACACAGAACTAGTAATTCTAGGTAACATTTGCTGGATAATTACTTTGTGTTACCTTCTGTTTTCAGTGTTTTATGTGAATAATCTCATTAATCCTCATAAAAGCCTTCTAAATCAAATAATATTATTCAAATTTTATAGAGGCAGAAATTGGGGCACAGAGAGGTTACATTACTTGCCAAAGGTCAATCAATGAGTAGAAGCAGAGCCATAATTGCAACCCAAGCAGGCATACTCTGAGCCTATACTCTGTGTCTATAAAGAAGACACCAGATGACCCTAAAAGAAAAACATAAAGCTCAGCTATTTTTTTCTATTTGCTTACCTTGAAGACCTGCATATTTAAGGGCTGACCAGTTTGGTATGTCATAGCACCCTCCACCGTCTTCCTGTTCTTCTGATTCACATCGGTAAAGGATCTGATTTAGCTCAGCCAAAGTTAATTTGGAGGCAATACTAAGAATTGGAAAATAAAGATAACTGGTTAAATATATTGAAGTTTAACTTGTTGTCAATAGAAACAAAAGGAGAAAATCTGAATTCTAATCATAAAATGTCTTAGCAGTCTATGTTTTACAAACTCTGCATTCAAATAAACATTATACTGACACGTACACAAAAAATTCAATTAGAAGCAACATTACTCCCAAACCAAGGAAATAATCAAGTGCCAAACTGCATTGATTAGAATTATGTTGGGAAAATCTTTTGGCTTCTATATCCTTTACCCTATAATTTTGTTTTTTTTTTAACGTTTCTAGTTTGGACTTAATGTTTTCTTTCCTTCCTTCGTTTATTTATTTATGTGTTCTCATCTGATTTCCCTCCTTCATATTCTCCTAAGTGAAACATCAAGAACTTTTTGTGCTAGTTATTGTATACCATAAATACTTATCAGAGAATCACTGAAAGAATAATAAAAAGTCAAAGTTAACCACCTAGGAAATCACGTGCTCTCTGCCTTTATATTTCCCTCCAAGTCCCTTTCCTTCTCTTCTCTAAGGTTGCACTGCCCCTCAGCTTGTTTATTCAGGAAACCAGGATTTTCTCAGATTAAGATGCTTCCTGATAACTGTCAGAGAGGACTATCATGACCTTGATTTCCCTTTGTTTGGTTAGCAGTAAGACGGTATAACTGACCACACTTGAATACATCTGAAACTGTATTTTCTTGTGCTTCTATAATAGATGCTCAGGTAATTTCATTTTACATGACTGCCATTTTATGTGAACATATATCCTCTTGAATGTACATCCTTCTTTCTCTTTTAGTTCTGGCTCAATTTAGAAAATCATTGTCTCTGTGCTTTGTTCTCTCCATCTCAGCCTCCCTCCTTACAGCTAGTTTGTGAGTCAAGCCTGAGTCAAATCACTCAGAAGCCTCAGTATCAACTCCATTCTAGGGCAGTATTTTTCGACACATAGACAGTGGACTCCTGGCCTAAAAAATTACCTGGGGATCTTATAAAACGAAACATTTCTTGGCCTTGCTCCAAAATAATCTGAGCAGGTCTGAGGAGGAACATGCATTTTACAAGCAGTCCATCGAACACAAAACTGCTTCACAGATTTTTTGGTTAAGAATACAACTACTTTATTAAGAATAGTTTGAATTAAGAGTTAATATCCTTAATAATAAAACATCTTATAAAATAACAAAAAAAGCTGAACACAATAGCAAAATGGGGTAATACATAAAACAACACTTCAAAAAATAAATACAAATGGCAAATGAACGAAATAATTTAGCTTAACTAATATTTAAATTATATGAGTTGCTATTTTTAACTATTTTATATTTACCAGTTTCACTAGTAACAGCTAGCACTTATCAATCACTATGTGTTAAACTGTTGTGTTTTATTCAAGTAATCCCCACAGCTCTGTAAGAAAGGTGCTACAATTATGTCTATTATAAACTGTCAAAGGTCCCTTTTTTTTTTTTTTTTTTTTTTTTTTTTTTTTTTTTTTAAGAGACAGGGTCTTGCTCTGTTGCTCAGGCTGGAGAGCAGTGGCACAATCATGGTGCATTGCAGCCTCGACCTTCTGGGCTCAACTGATGCTGATGCTACTACCTCAGCTTCCTGAGTATCTGTGACCACAGGTGCATGCCATCACCCCCAGCTAATTTTTAAAAAGTGTTTTGTAGAGACAGGGTTTCACTATGTTGCCCAGGCTGGTCTTGAACTTCTGGGCTCAAGAAATCCTCCCACCTCAGCCTCACAAAGTGCTGAGATTATAGGAGTGAGCCATTGCATCCCGCCAGGTCTTACTTCTTATAGCTAATAAGAGTCTGAAATGCAATTCAAACCCTGCTAGTCTGGTTCTATACTCCATGCCCTTAAACACTACATAATAATAATATATACTCAGGATTGGTAATGATGGAAACTCTTGCATAGAGCTGAAAGTATTAATTAATATAATCTTTCTGGAGGGAATTTGGCAGTATGTATTAAGAGCCTCAAATATATGGATATAGTCTAACCCAGCAGTCTCTCACCTTTTTGTCACCAGGGACTGGTTGTACGAAAGACACTTTTTCCCAGACTGGCGGTTGGGGGGCTGGTTTGGGGATGATTCAAGCACATTACATTTATTGGGTACTTTATTTCTACTATTATTACATTGTAATATATAGTGAAATAATTACACAACTCACCATAATGTGGAATGAGTGGGACTCTAAGCTTGTTTTCCTGCAACTAGACAGTCCCAGCTGGGGGTGATGGGAGACAGTGACAGATCATCAGGCATTAAGATTCTCACAGGGAGCATGCAATCTAGGTCCCTGGCATGGACAGTTCTCAGTAGGGTTTGCCACCGTGTGAGACTCTAATGCATCCACTGATCTGACAGGAGGTGGAGTTCAGACAGTAATGTGAGTGATGGGAGCAGCTGTAAATACAGATAAAGCTCACCTGCGACTCACCTCCTGCTGTGCGGCCTGTTTCCTAACAGGCCATGGATCAGTACTGTGTCTGTGGCCCCGAGGCTGGGGACCCCTCGTCTAACCCAAACATTCAATTTCTGAAAATTCATACTAGTACTAACGATGGCAAACTATGAGCATTTACTATGTGCCAGGCATTGTATTAAGGGCTTTATATGTGTTATCCTACTTAATTCTTACAAAACCTATGAGGTAGCTACTGTTAATAAGCCCCATTTTCTAGATGGGAGACTGAGATGATGAAAGTTCTAAATAAATTATCCAAGATCATACTGACAGTAATGAAGCTAAAGTTAAATCCAGGTCTAAACTTCAAAACCCATATTCTTCTATAGTATGCAGTAACATCTAGTAAGGGAACAACTAAGGATTGATGTAAAGATGAATGTAGAAAGACATAAATAATAGGGAATAATTAGAAGCAATCTAGATGGCCAAAAATGAAAACTGTTTTAAATAAATTATGGTAAAGTAATTAGAATAAAAAATAATGTAGAATAAAAAATGACATGGTAGAGTAAGAGATAAGCAACTTAGTCTCAGATACTTCAGATAAATTGTGTGTGTGTATAGAGATGCATATGTGTGTGTATGCATGCACGTAGGCATGCGTGTATCTATATCTATAGAGAGTGTGCATACAGGCACACACAAATTATAAAGCAATTAGGTAAAATGTTAACAACAGGTGTTGCTGACACTGCTGGTCCTTGGACCATGCTTTGAATAGCAAGAATACAGAGGATCCTTAAAACTGCTTAATTCAGTCTAGTGGTAACTTACTTATTAAAGTGGCAAATCTCTATCAAATAAGGCATACTTACGAAGCAAAAGGAATTTTTAATATAGGGTCTGAATTGTCAACAGCTAGGCTCCCGGATTTAAAGTGAGGACTGAATTGTGTCAGATGATTTCGAAGAATTCCAACAGCAACTTGTGCATGTGGATCAAGACTAACTCTGAAAATGTTAATAAAAAATGGTTAATTTTGGGGGGTAATTTATTCAAATTTAGCAGGATATGCAAACAATTTTAAATATAAGTAAAGTTAACAGCTTGAGCTCCATTTTCATACCTGAATATAATAACACTCCCTGGAGACAAGTTTTCAAATTCTATTTCTTGAATATATTCATTGGGCCCTTTTGTGGCAACTCCAGCTTGTTTAACAATTTTACTTTCATTAAGCTTGAAAAAAAAATGGCATTAAAAAAATCAGTTCAACAAGCAGTTCTAATGTTCTTAAAATGCCTAACATAGTAGTAAGATGAGAGTACCAAATACCTGAATATGTTCTCTAATTTCTACTGTGATATCTGGCATTCCATTGATTGAATTCTCATCCTTCCTATAAGGTTTCACATTTCTCTCAATAGTTCTAGCTTCAAGAACTACTTCTTCAATTTTGCCTAGGAATATATAAAAACATTTTAACAAAATTTCACATGGAATCATCCGAAATTAGGAAGGCTAAAGTAGTTTCAAATCGTTTAACTTAAAGTTGAAACTAAAATATCAGTAAAATTTTTTAAAATGTCTGAAAGTAGATGATTCTACCCAAGGTACATTTTCACAGTTTTTTTAAAAAAATTACAACTTAGTTAACAAAGCTTTTTTTGAAATAGGAACTTATCTAAATAATACCTTAGCTCTGAGGAACAACTTCCTAATTTTGAGCAGAGAAAGCAGATCACTTGAAAGGCTTATATTTTTTTAAAAATTGGAATTTTTCAGATACAAAAAAAAATGCTAAAAACCCAGGTTCTACTTCCTCAAAGAAAAATTTACAAATACAAGTAAAGCCTATGTGTATCTGTCCTATTAAGGTTGTCGCTCTAATTTTTCTCTATTATAATGTTGCAATAAATATTCTTGTGCATATCTTCAAATGGAAATGTACGAAAAATTCCCAGATATATACCTAGGAATAGAATTGCTGGGTCAATGGGTTATATAACATTTCAACCTCACTTTAAATTACTTAAGCTTTAAATCATTAATCTGGCAATAGGTAACAGAACTTTTTGACCCAGGAATTCTACCTCTGTAAATATATACTAAGAAAATTGTTTAAAAGAAAAAAATTATCCTTAGTGCATATTTAAAACTTAATAACACTTCTAAACACACTAAAGAATATGTAAAAGGAAATAAAAACATTTAACAAAATAAAAATCACAATTTTGTGGACAAGTGAGAATGTTTTAAGTGACTGGGCTGGGCATGGTGGCTCACGCCTGTAATCCCAGCACTTTGGGAGGCTGAGGCGGGTGGATCACGAGGTCAAGAGATCAACACCATCCTGGTCAACGTGGTGAAACTCTGTCTCTATTAAAAATACAAAAAATTAGCTGGGCATGGTGGCGTGTGCCTGTAATCCCAGCTACACAGGAGGCTGAGGCAGGAGAATTGTCTGAACCCAGGAGGCGGAGGTTGCAGTGACCCGAGATCGCGCCATTGCACTCCAGCCTGGGTAACAAGAGTGAAACTCTGTCTCAAAAAAAAAAAAAGAATGATCAGTGACCAAAACAAAACCTGAGAGGACATTTTGCATAGTGATTGTTGTAACGAAATACATACATTAGCAAAGAGCAAATGAGGATAGTGAACATAAATTTGTGAACAATTAAAGAAACTTTTAGGTATTTAGGTTGACAATTTTTAAAAACAGGAACTATGAGTACTCAGCAACTAGCAACCAACACAGAATATGATTTTTATGGGAATTTTCATTTGCTCAATCAACAAACTTTGACAGCTGCTGCATATACAGGAGCATGCTCTGCTACAGCATACCATATAAGTTAAGAAAATTAAAATAGACATATCCAGAAAAAATTCAAGTAATATTAAGGACATAGCTCAGGGATGTATTTTATAATTTTATATTTGACTCTCTATGCCAAAGGAGTATATAGAGACTATAATTAGTCTATGTTCAGAAGAAAGAGAGATCACTGAACAAAGGCGGTGTCACTTTAGACCTTGAAAGATCCAGACAATTCACCCAGTATTTGGGGAGAAGTAAAAATACCTGTTTGTTTGAAATAGCGGACTGACATAGGGCTAGATGAGGATGGATTATGAGAAGCTTAAATATAAGGTTAGGTTATTTTCCATGTTAGTTTATATATTTGTATGTATATTTGTGCATATACACACACAAAGACATACTTACACATATATACATGTACATAGATATACACTAACACAAATATATATAAATATTCTTCTGGTAGAAGAGAAATACATGTTCATTTTATTCAAATTAGGAACTATGTTAAAATATAAACAAAAATATTTCACAACTCAAAAAATGTTAACATTTGGAAGTATTTCTGTCTAGGTTTTGTTCCACGCAGTAAAAATGTAAGTTGCCAAAATTTCTTTCTTTCTTTCTTTTTTCTTTTTTTTTTTTGAGATAGGGTCTCATTCTATCACCTAGGCTAGAGTGCAGTGGTGGGATCTGAACTCACTGCAACCACTGCCTCCTGGCCTCAGGTGATCCTCCCAGCTCAGCCTCAGGAGTAGCTGAGACTACAGGCATGAACCACCATGCCCACCTAATTTTTTGTACTTTTTTTGGTAGAGACAGGGTTTTATTAAAGTGCTGAGGCTGGTCTTGAACTCCTGAGCTAAATGATCCGCCTGCCTCAGCCTCCTGAAGTGTTGGGATTACAGGTGTGAGTCATCATGCCTGGCCAAGTTACCAAAAATGTTTAATTCTTTTTCTTAAGTACAACCACAGTAGCACTGCGTTATAATATATATGATATATACATTACGTGTATATATCATATATATATATGATATATACCATAACATTACAATATAATTTAATATAATGATATAATACAAATACAATAACAATTTTTAGATTGCATTACCAGGGATGCACATTTGAGGCACTTCCTTGCTATAAAATGAAGTCTTGGGATTCCTGAAAGCAGTTCTAGATACAGCCACAACAGACTGATGGATGCTAGGTGAGTGTCTTGTTACTGCCACAATGTCTTCATCAACTTGATCCACGTACACCTGAGAAGCAGAAAGAACAACTAGATTAGCTCTCAAACTGGAAATCAGTGCTCAAACTGGAAAGACTTACTCTGAAATTGAACCTGAAGAACAAATGTAATTATTTCTTGCCTGAATAAAACCCTTGGCTCCAAGCTCCTGATGAAGTTTATTGATAGCACACCTGGCTGCAATAATTCCGCTTTGGAAATTAACTTCACCTGGATTTGAAGGCAATGCTTCAGGATTCCATTTAGTGTAAAAACGTTCTTCAGAAACCACTGAAATCTGGACAAAGGTAAAATTTAACATGAATACATTTTAATTACAGTAAGTTTTTTTAATAAAAATGCACAAAGTTGTTAGCCATGTAGGTTTTAAAAAACAACATATAAACAAACCTGATGAGGCACTAATTCATCATAGCCTCTTGTACTTCCACTAGCACAACATGCCATAGAAACAATTGTAGTACTTGGAAGAGCATCATACACTGATCTATGCTAGAAGATAACAACAAAGCAAAAGTTTACTTCCTTTCAAATGAAAAGTGCCATTCTACAGCATAATGAAGTAAAAGGATAATTATATAAATAAATTCATAAGGTAAATTGATTTGCTTTTAAACAATTAAAACATTCTGAAAATTATGTACTATAAATCAGTTATAAATCTGACACTATTTTGAGGTACATGGATATGATTGTGACCAAGAGAGTTAAATATCAAAATAAGTACATGAAAAAGATTACGTGCTTACCACAATTGGACACTCATTATCATGGGTAATATCCATAAATAGGGCATGTGCAATAGCTGGCATTAAAGGCCTCAAACAGGGCTGAACAAAGGATCCAACAGGTTCTCCTCCATATCGGTAAACTAATCTGCCCTCTTCATGACTATTATATGCACTCATTGCCTCTGCAGAGCATTACAGAATATTTCAACAATCCTCATTATTTATGTCCAGGAAGAGGTTAGATTTCTTACCATGAGTGATTTTCAAAATAAAGACATCAATATTATAAAAAATAAAACTGCTTTAGTAATTTAAACAAATGTCTACAAGTTAAAGTGACAAAAAACTTTTCCCCATAACTTAACTGGAGAAATGCCACATGTAAGGAAAAGGGAACATATATTATTTACTGGGATGTAAGCTCTACAAAATTGATTATAACACACATAAACATTAAACCATATCTCCCAGTAGAAAATGAAAAACAGGTTGGCATATTTTCAACAACAAAAAAATGGTTTTGTTAGTGAGTCTTCAGTTCATCCTACTGGGTTTTCAATTTGAAATGAGGTATCTTATCCCAAAGTAGAAATTTATACTGATAAAAATAGACTGAGTAATATTAGAATATGTCATACAAACTATTTAAAAGAACATTAACTGTGTTAAAAAATTATTAAGCATTGCATATGAAGCTATGAAATCCTTTAATCTACTTAAACAAAAGCTAAAGTTTTAGATGGGAAATACACTCCAACAAGCCTACCTCTTATTAAGGAACTAATGCCCAGTCTAGTAACAAAGATATTGTCCAGATCTTCACTTCCTGTGAACAGTTCAGCTACTACATATAAATTGGGTTGCAAATTCCTAGCAGCATCCAACATGTACTGTAAAAAGCACAGTGACAAATGTAACGAATAAATGTAACAGAAAAGAGAAAGAGAAAAGCAAGATAAAAGGAAGGAAGGAGACAAAAGGAGGCCTGGATTTGACATAGAAAAATATGCAGCAAGATAAAATGGAAATTCAAAAATTTCCAAATAAAATTTCACTGTACATATATAAGAAAATATCAAGAACACCAAAACACATAGAAACAAGAGAATTTACAAAGAGAAGAAAACAGTTAAAAAGGAAGATTAGATTTTGCAAAGATATGAGACACCAGAGTGGAAAAGAAGAAGAAAAATGTTAGTGTCATATTACTAAATGTAAATCATAACACTGCAATTCTGTTAGGCTTTCCCCTTGTTTTTTATTTGTTTATTTTTAATACCTTTAATCAGACTTAATTCCCAGGTGGTTGACTAAATAATTATTCATAAATTCCCGGATGGTGAATTACTTAGCTGTTGGAACGGTAGGTCTGTCTGACCAGACTGAAGCCAGTTTCTCCTACAGATGATACAACTCTTAAAAACTCTTACACCTTACAATTTCCACTTGTGTGATTTACATTTAAAACTGGTGCTGTCTAGCTGAGAATCAGGAAATAATGGTTTATAATAAAAAATCAAATTAGTTCCTGTTAAACATAAACATTTGCACAAAAGTTAATAAAATACTTGAAATTCTATCAGGTAACAAGTAGAATCCTAGAAGATTTTGTAATTTAAAATTAAGTACATTAAGTTAGAACATTCTTTTCTGCTATGTAACGATCTTAGAGGTATATATATATATTTTTGCTGTTCCTAAAAGCACAATAAAATAAAGCCCTGTCATTTTTTGGACCTAAACAATGTTCTACCAGCTTAACTTCTGTTTACTAGATCCCTCCAAATCAAATCAATTTTTCATCACAGGACTTGAAACATATACATTATAATACTTCTTTCATATTAGAGAATAGATATTTTTCAGATAAGAACACATTTCCAAAGAACACCTAAGTGACACTTGTTACTAGGAAGTTATGAAAGATCTTATAAGCAGTGCTACTGTAGGGTTTCTAAAAATAATAAATTTAAAAAATCTTATGAGCAGGATGAAAATTATGAGTTTAATTACCAAGTTGTATTAGAGAGAAGGTAATACTGTAAGTATTAGCACTGTTCAGAAGTTACGGTAAAGAGCCCAAAGAGGAATAGACAATGTTTATGTTTACAATTATATTTTAATAAATAATTTTAAAAAATTAAATCGATGAGGCTAGACTGGCTTCAATATGCTATAATGTTAAGGTTTAAATAGCCACTATAATATGTAATAAGCTATTCACCTTCACAGTCACTTCTAATACATATTAAAAGCAGCCTAAAAACAAGAAAAATTAACATTTTATGTTTTACAATAGCAATATGGTTGTGCTCCATATTATCAGAAACAGTATGATCAACTTCCCTAAATTAAAATTTTTAAATTAACTAGTTAAATATTTCATAGCCCAGTATTCCATAACAACTGCATCAGAAGATTGTTACAATTATGCAAACTATGCAACAGTGTTAAATACTACCACCAAACCAATGGTGGTATCCATCTAGCAAAAGGAAACGTTTACCTGCATAGTCTACTTAAGGAAAGCTAGAAAGAATGCTGAATTTCTTTTCTTAATGTAGATAAATTGTTTTTCTGTACCTCAGCTACATGAAGAGGTGTTGAGTGGCAGTTATCAAGACGTACTCCCTGGAAATAAGTTGCAGTTATTTCAGTGTATTTTTTCATGTGTGCCCAGAGATAAGGACAGTCCTCCGGTTTATTCCCATAGCGTAATTTAACACTGTCTCCCCAGCAAATAAGTTCTCTCCTCAAGTAAACGTCTGAACCTGTCAAGAAAAGAGATTGCTTTCAATGGTTCAAGAAATAAAATGAAAACAATTACTTCAAGAAAACACTGTGGTTTTTAAATTGGTTTAATCATTTCTGCCACAAATGATATATTGGTTAAAATTATATCTAAAGTGGTATGAGATAAAGTTTTAAAAAATTAATAATAATTTCTCATAGCTATTCTGTAAAAATTCTAGCTTATAGTCTCTTCTAAAAATTTGTCCTCAATTTCAAAAACCAAAGTGACTTCATAAGGGAAAACAGAAATGTTAATATCATAGGTCTTTTAAAATTATAGTTCTATCAAAAACTTTTTTTTTTTTTTGAGACGGAGTTTCACTCTTGTTACCCAGGCTGGACTGCAATGGCTCGATCTTGGCTCACTGCAACCTCCACCTCCTGGGTTCAGGCAATTCTCCTGCCTCAGCCTCCTGAGTAGCTGGGATTACAGGCACGTGCCACCATGCCCAGCTAATTTTTTGTATCTTTAGTAGAGGCTGGGTTTCACCACGTTGACCAGGATGGTCTCGATCCCCTGACGTCGTGATCCACCCGCCTCGGCCTCCCAAAGTGCTGGGATTACAGGCATGAGCCACCGCGCCCGGCCCTACCGAAAACATTTAAAGCTCCATCTTCACCCTTCTACTTATTTTTGCCAACAGCTTATATTAAATCCATGGCATACAGCAGAATGGCTTGTTTTCATTTAGAATGGCTAGAAAAAAGAGGGCAGAGACACTTAAACCCAAATTTATACTAAAAAAAAACCATAAGATTTATGAATTAATTTTATTGTCACAAAAATAGACTCCTAGTTTTAAAAAATGTTAAAAAATAAATATATCAATGGGCCCCTACAACATTCTTCCTGGTAATGAAACAGCTATAGAAAAACAAGACACTAAGAGTAAGGGGGGACCTAAAACCATTAGGTTCTAGTTTAATTGCCACTGAAATATCTTAATACCTCTGGCCAATGAGTGAAAATATCTCCTACAGCAATGTAATTGTAATAGCTGTGGTTTCAAACTTGTTTGTAAAAATGCAATAATATTCTGTCCAAATAAGAGCTTATGTAGACCCACAATATAGAAAACAGATACATGAAAGCTATTCCGTTAGAGAAGAAAAGAGGTAGGAAGGCAAAGGAGATGAAAGAAGATGAACTTGTTTGTTTGTTTTTCTTTCTCCATGTTTTTTTTTCTCAAATTGGATGTACCTCTGGTACCTTTATGGTGAAATAGTTTAAAAACCAATAGACTAATGGGAAAGAAAATCTATAAAGCAGATTTTATTTTGACCTTGCCATGAACTATTCTTTCTCTATCCACAGAGAAGTTAAAAGTGATATACCTGGTTCAGCAAAGTTTCGAAGAGGATCATCTCCCATTACCCATCCATTGTGGGCCATCAGAAAACAAGCTTTATTTGGGAGATGAATCATAGATTCTTCCATGGAGAAGTCCATTTCTTCAAATGGGAAAGTAAAATATCTATGGAAATATAATTAAGTATTAAATCCATACAAAGAAACTTCTTGGAGAGTGAATTTGCAATATTAAAACTAAACTTCTTTTATAATGAATAAAATTAGTTTGATGTCATTTATAGAAAAAACTTCAATAAAGGTCAAAAATCTTCAATAGGCTTTTTGAGTAAAGCTAGTGGGGTGTAAGGGACAGGGAGTTAACACAACAGCATATCTGGCTAACATTTTAAATAATTTTTAAAACCTCATAAAATTATTTTTAAAAATCATCAAGGTGGCAGATTGTGGTTTCTCCCACCTGTAATCCCAGAACTGTGGAAGGCCAAGGCGGCGGATCACCAGCCTGGCCAAGATGGGGAAATCCCACCTCTACTAAAACTACAAAAATTAGCTGGGCGTGGTGGCGCACACCTGTAGTCCTGGCTCCTTGTGAGGCTGAGGCAGGAGAATCGCTTGAACCCAGGAGGCGGAGGTTGCAGTGAGCTGAGATCACACTACTGCACTCCAGCCTGGGCAACAGAGCGAGACTGTATCTCAATAATAATAATAATTGAGGCACTGAGCATTGATGTTACTTTGCAGACTTTTTTAAAAAAGACTCTAAGATATGCAAAGGCTTTTACTGCACTCTAGTTGCCCAACTTATGCTTCAAATCACTTATTAAGGAGCTAGATGCTTGCTTAATTTGATTAATATTGAATTTATTACTAGGTATGCAGTCCTCCAAAAACATTGTAAATAATAACTATAATTGATTCATACTGATGACAGTTTCTCTAACAAAATATTTGCCTAACTAAATAGTTAATATTAAGCCTATGTCCATATCAAAATTTCTATTTCAATTTAAGAAATGTACTGAAGTCACATGTTAAACAAAACATTTAGGTTAATTTCAAAAGTAAAATACTATTTTCAATTGTCAGCTATCAATAAGAAGAAAACAAAAATGCAACACCTGGTAACTAACGGATGCTTTCTAGTGACAGCTCCTAGTTTTGGACCATGGCCAGCCAGTCGTTCATAAAACACATTTCCCAAAAGACAGTTAACTGCCTGAAAAACATTAAATTGTGTTAGATCATCATCATCAACACAACAACAAAATAGTACTAAGATACAAAGAAAAGCAGCAGTTCAAAAATAAGTAAAACCTGTTCCTGATGATAGTTAATGAGTTGATGCCTCTCTGAATTTAATTCCTCAATTCTCTTACGAAACCAATTACAGCATTCTTCAATTGCTGCTGGCCCATTGCTAGAGCAGATAGAGAAATGCAGATATAGTATTTAATGGCTTTACAGATTCTACATTTAAAAATTTTCTAACAAGGGTCACAGAAACCTTAAATATATTCATCAGGATTTTAATTATGGCTGATGATGTTTTTCAATTGTAGAAATTTTTATATACACGTATAGGAACAAGGCCCACACATAGAAAAAGTGGGACAATGTCATGTGCTGAAACAGTAGAATTATGGTGAATTACTTTATTTCATTTTCTACTAAGCATTTTTAATAAGTACTATGAAAATCATACTAGCCATAAAGGTTTGTAAGTATTATTATTTATTTCACAGAAAATACACATTACATACTCATGTGGTATAAAAGTCGCTAGTGCAATGTTCATATCTACAGTACAGCCAAACCGTCTGTATTCAGGATCTTGAATAATCTTAAGATGTTGGTTTGGATCAGACTTGGTTACTCTCCTATTTCCTAAAAGAAAGAAAAGATGTATCTTAAATGCAAATATTTACAAAGAGATTATAACTGTCACTAATTTCTAATTTTTGGCCTACAATTTTTCATTGAAAATAAAACAAGTATTTTTTTCACAAGTATTCTCCTACCTCCTCCCCTTCCCATCTTTCTGTATGTGCATGCGCGCACACACACACACACACACACACACACACACACCCGGACAGGTGTGGGGGAGAAAGATACAGAGAGACAAAATCACATAAAAGAAAGACACAGGATTCCTATCATTTCAATCCCAGCCCCAGTTTTCTGCCTAAATCAGCATTCACTTGATTGACGGATTGATTGATTGAGCACATTAAGGACTTTAGTGGAACCCGTTTTCCTCCCAGGTGCTACGAAATATTCTAACCTCAGGAGTTCTTTTTCAAGATTGCTTTCGAAGTTTGCTGCCGAAAGTCTTATTATAACAACCTGACTTTCTTTGTATTCTCTAAAAGAAGCACACAGGTTTGCTTTAATACTTTTTTTTCCCTTTTCTACTTTCTACATTTCTACAACTACATTCCTTAGATAATAATTTAAAAATTAAAAAGGAAATAAATAGTTTTGGGGGAAATTTTTACTCTTCTTTGTAATAAAATCAAGAATTGGTACAGGATTGTCTCCACTGAACTTGATTCTATGTTAACTAATTAATTTATATCTGGCTTATTCTAAAGAGACTTTGAAATGGCTTATAAAAACACAAGATAACATAAAATAATGGGTTTCCATAGTGTAGTGATTATTACGTCCACCTCACAAAACAGCATAAAATATAAATCAATTCTTAAAGTTCAGTTTCTAGGGCTGGGCACGGTGGCTCAAGCCTGTAATCCCAGAACTTTGGGAGACCGAGGCGGGTGGATAATGAGATCAACAGATCGAGACCATCCTGGTCAACATGGTGAAACCCTATCTCTACTAAAAATACAAAAAATTAGCTGGGCATGGTGGTGCGTGGCTGTAATCCCAGCTACTCAGGAGGCTGAGGCAGGAGAATTGCCTGAACCCAGGAGGCGGAGGTTGCGGTGACCCGAGATCGCGCCATTGTACTCCAGCCTGGGTAACGAGAGAAACTCCATCTCAAAAAAAAAAAAAAGAAATAAGTTTCTAAAGTTCATCTGGAAGAGTAAATATATGAATACTGCCAAAAAATGTTTGAAAAGAGAAAAATCTATGCCATCAGTATAAACTAATAGACTTTAGTATTGATAGAATAAAGAAGATGGACCAGTGGAAGAGCACAAATAATAGAGGTATATTTTGTATATTACCATACACTGTGAAGTGTTATGGTGGTACTTCAAATCAGTATAAAGAAATGGATTTTCAACTCAATATAATTTTAAAAATCCAAATAAAGTTAAATATCTTCTTTATAAAATATGTAAAAATAAATTTCAGGTATATTAAATATTCAAATGTAAAAATATAAGATTAGAAGAAAAGAGAATGTTGATGGAAGGTCTTTTCTAAGCATAATACGAAATCAGAAGCCATCAGAGATTGAAAAGCTTGACTACACTGAAAAAAAAGTCACTACAAACAAGAGTTAAAAGGTCAAGTACATACTAGGAGGATATAGTTGAGGCCTGTGTAATAAGAAATAATCAATAATAATGTCAATATAAAAAAGAGACAAACAACCCAATAGAAAAATCAGAAGAAATATTAACAGGCAATTAATGGAAGAAATACAAATAGTGAATTAATGCATATAAATATACTTAATTCATAAGCAAAGAAATGTAAATTAAAATAAGGTATGCTTTTTCTGATCGACAAACATGATAAAGGTTAATGGTATCCAATGTTAGCGATAATATTAAGTTGGTATAACTTGCTGTGAAAAGAAATTTATTATATTTGAAATTTGTACACCTTTTTGATCATTAATTCCATGTTTAATATAATTTATCCTTCAGATTGACTCATATAAGTAAGTAACAGGGATGCATTTTCTGCAGTACAGCTTATGAGACTGGAGGTGTACCTAGGGTAAGGACTTTGTTCTATTTACCACTGAATTCTCATGCCTGGGGGAATGTCTAGCACATAGTAGTAGGTGGTTCAATGAATATGCATTGAATGAATAAATGAAAAAAGAAAAAACTGGAAACAGCCTATCAAAAAGACTAGTTAAATAAATTCAAGTCCTTTAAAAATCAGATATTGCTATATAGGGGTTAAAAGAAGTAATTAGCTATAGTAAATTGATATTGTCAACTAAAAGAACAAGTTGTTGACAGTTTATGTTCTAGTCCTATTTGCATGTGTAAAAAATAAAAAATATAAAACTTATGTACATACATATATAGAATTACATAAAATTATATATATAATTGAATTTTTTTTCAAAAAGAGTCTTAAATACAAGAAACAATATGTAGTAGCTGAGATGTAGGGTTTTGGGAGAGAGGAGGTCATACATTCTATTTTGTTACACATTTGAACTATTGGGTTTTTTCTCTTTTCAATAATCACATATTATTTCATGTAAATAATGCAGCTTATTGTGGGGAGGGAAGATAGAGGCCCTTTAGTAAAATGAAACAGGAAGAAAAGTTAATATTAAAAATTCCTGTATTAAAGTTTTATACAATTGCAGAAGTTGATGTGTGAATCTGACTGAGCATCCTAAAGCTTCAAAGGCACTATTTCTGGGTCCTACCTTAGTTCTGTTTTATGGAAGACAAAAAAAGTCTTTAAGATCTTCCCAAGATCCTTACTGCTAGGTTGTCCTATGTGAAATACAGATAGATTCTTAATAATCCTTTTCAATTTGTCTCCTACAAACTCTACCTTCTAATTTCACCTTTTTTCCCTATCCTATTTTGTTGGAAGGGCACATTAACTTCTTGATTAATTATGTCCTTAACAGAAGACTCATTTATTTACCTTTTGTTATCTTGCCAATATCTGGCTTCAGTATCACTAGTGGTTAAGTGGCCTTAATAGAGTGGGCAAAATCAGCTGGAAGCCACTCTATATCAGTCAAGATTCTTACTATAGACAACAGTAGACTATCACATCTCCCAGTTTCAAAACTTGTTTTGAGCCTTTCTCAGCTGAAATAACCTGTTCTACCTACTTCCCATTGATACATTTAACAACTATGTACTGGGTTCCACAATATTTTGAGCATTCTATGGAACTGTCAGTAAGATACAGTACCCAGGGGAAATAATTGTGTTATGTATTATTATGACATGTCCTTAGACATCTCTGCTAACTCTCAGCTTACAGAATCAGTTTTAGAATATAAAAAATAATACAAATATCATACAATGACATATTTAATAATGACGTTACCCAAAAGAGTTTTCCCTTAATAAGCAATGTTAAATTTCTTAAAGTTGATAGGAACATTCCAGTGTATATTCTTTACCTTGTGTAAGAAGTCTTCTAAATTGCTCAACTGCTTTGTTGATATCTACTTGGAAAAATTCCCAGAGTTTAAGCTTCGGAAAAATATCTTCCCAAATTATCTTTCGGATGGACTGAAAAATGTCAATAGTTTAAAAATACATATATACATATATTTATTTAAAATCATTTCACCAAATACTGTTTATCATATTAAAATCTAGATTCTAAGTAATTTTCAACCATATATTTAACAGGTACTTTAGAAACTTTTCCTGTTTTAGTGTGGTACTCTTCTGTACATACTGACATTCATGTGATGATCATTTTCAATCAAAGCAGGTATTCCTTTTTCTTTGTATTTCCCTTCTGCAACATCAAGGGAGAAATGCCAAAGTGCTCTGTCTAAGATCCAGGCAGGTTTTAAGTGTGGAGAATTCACAAGATTATAGGCACATTCTGGATGTTCCTGGATCCATTTACTATTAGCAGCTGAAGGAAAAAGGAGACACAAAGGAAAATCTCATAATTAAATTGAAACTGTATCTATGTTTAGAGGTGAAATAAAATATAAACATATGCCACTCATTATTTTCTATATTAGACATCAATATTTTATAATGATATCATCATGGGAAAAATTATTTCCTTGGTTACGGTATCTTATCTACTTCACCATATATATATTTTTTAACTTTAATTCTGCTTAGAAAATCATGATGAAACAAAAAGCACCTCTCTCATAGGTAACTTTTGTGTGGCTAATCTTAAAATGTCAATGAAATATGTTGTTTTGATAAACTGGATAAAAGCAAGGCTGAGAAAGTGCTAAAAGAAATATGCTCAAGGAATACAAATGTAGCTTATATTTCGGAATCAGGAGTTTGGCAAAGTATTCCAAATATTTACAATATGGAAGATAATTTGTTTTGGCCAGGCATGGTGGCTCATACCTATAAACCCAGCACTTTGTCGGAGTGGAGGTAGAAGGATAGCCTACAGGAATGCAAGACCAGCTTGGTTAACAGTGAGACCTCATATCTATGTATTTTAAAAGAGATAATTTGTTTTAATTTTAAAACAAATGAAAGTTATATGGAATTTGTTTGATCTTTAAAATGGACTAATTCTCCCTGAATTCATATTAAAGAGCATGAGTGATTAGTGTACATAAAATAACAAATAATAACAATTATTGAATATTTACCACATAGTAGAAATTATTCTAAGCAGTTAAATATACTAATTTATCATTCCTCACTTCCTACGACACAAATTAGGACATACTGTTATGTTCCTTTAACAATGAGGAACTGAAGCACAGAGAGTTAAGTAACTCAGCCAAAGTCAGTCAGGAATCAACTTGGTCAAGTCCCTCTTTAGAAGATGCAATCTTTACAACATTGCTCTGCTACTGAAATCAATGTGCTCATGCTTCATTTACTTAGCTGAGCACCCTTATATAATTTTAGAATCATTATTATTTCTAGTGTCAGTCATTGATTTAGTAAATTATTTATTTACTTAAGTATTTAGTCATATCCATAATAAACACTCAGATGAAGACAGGCTACATAATAAGGAACAGAGATGTTGTAATAAAGGTTAAATTGGTAATTCTCAAAATTTGCATCAAGATAGTTCCTCTGAGATTCACCATCACAATCACTGAAATTCAAGTTATTTTTTAAAAAGACAAAATGAAGTAATAACTTATATCCAATTAGGATTTCCACTTATAAAGAATAAATACTGGGGCTAGGTGCAGTGGCTCACACCTGTCATCCCAGCACTTTGGGAGACCAAGGAGGGAATATCACTTGAGCCCAGGAGTTTTAGACCAGCCTGGGCAACATAGCGAGACCTCATTTCTACAAAAATTTTTAAAAATTAGGTGAGCATGGTGGCATGTGCCTAAAGTCCCAGCTACTCAAGAGGCTAAGGTGGGAGGATTACTTGAGCCCAGCAAGTGGAGGCTGCAGTGAAATGAGATTGTGCCACTGCACTACAGCCTGGATGACAGAATGAGACCCTGTCTCAAAAATAAATAAAGAAAGAAATAAAGAATAATAAATATCAGCGCTGCCCTCACTCATTATTTTTGAGACAGGGTCTTTGTGACCCAGGCTGGAGCACAGTGGTGCAATCACAGTTCACTGCAGCCTTGAACTCTTGAGCTCAAGTGATCTTCCTGCCTAAGCCTCTCAAGTAGTCAAGACTACAAGTGTATGCCAACACACCCAGCTAATTAAACAAATGTGTGTGTGTGTGTGTGTGTGTGTGTGTGTATGCATGTATTTTTGAGACGGAGTCTTGCTCTGTCACTCAGGCTGGAGTGCAGTGGCATGATCTCAGCTCACTGTAACCTCCCGGGTTTAAGCAATTCTCCTGCCTCAATCTCCCTACTAGCTAGAATTACAGGTGCCTGCCATCATGCCTGGCTAGTTTTTGTATTTTTAGCAGAGACAGGGTTTCAACATGTTGTCCAGGCTGGTCTCAAACTCCTAACCTCAAGTGATCCACCTGCCTCGGCCTCCCAAAGTGCTGGGATTACAGGCGTGAGCCACCATGCCCAGCCTTAAAAATATTTTTTGTAGAGATCAGGTCTCACTATATTGAGCAGGCTGGTCTCAAACTCCTGGCTCAAGTGATCCTCTTGCATTCGGCTTCCCACAGTGGTGGTATTACAGGTGTGAGTCACTGCGCCTGGTCCCCAATTTTTAAAACAGCAAAATCCTAAAACTGTTTCTTTTCTCAATATTTTGAAACACAAATCAACTGTAAAATGAAAGAATTCTAAACAATAGGTAATGAAAGTATTTTTTTCTAATTTTACATGAAAGAAGAGTCAAATTCCAAACTGTTTTTTAACACATATCTACATTAAAAAATAAATATGGACTTCTGGAGTGATACAGTAAGAAACTCAATAAACACTGTCCCTAGCAAAACAATTTAATTGGTGAAAATAATTTTAAAAACAATTATTTAGTCCCTGGAAATTATCTTAGGGCATTCAGCATAAGGAGAAACATTTATTTAAGATAAGAACAGCAAGAGTCTTGACTAAGACCTTTACCAGGCCAATTAGGTTCCCAGTATTCTTGGCCTGCTAAATCTGGGAAAGGACGATGGCTTTGCAAGTAGGGGCTGAGTGGAGGAAGGGAGATTTTTCTCCACCTGCCTACTTGGAACAGAAATTTTGCAACATGGCTGGGCACAGTGGCTCATGCCTGTAATCCCAGCACTTTGGGAGGCTGAGGCAGGTGGATTACCTGAGGTCAGGAGTTCGAGACCAACCTGGCAAATATGGCAAGTATCCATCTCTACTAAATATACAAAAATTAGCCAGGCATGGTGGCTGATACCCGTAATCCCAGCTACTAGGGAGGTTGAGGCATGAGAATCTCTTGAACCTGGGAGGTGGAGGCTGCAGTGAGCCAAGACTGTGCCACTGCACTCCAGCCTGGGCAACAAAGCAAGACTCTGTCTCAAAAAAAAAAAAAAAAAAAAAAAAAGAGAACTTCTGCAACACAGGGCCAGTGGGGAGGAATTAGAAACACCCATAGACTGCACCTCTTATGGTGAAACTACAACCCCAGGCTGGGAGTTGGGAGGAATATCTCCCTCTTGGCCACACCCACCAGGAGTAGAGCACCTGTGTTACAGCTTCTGTAACAGAGGGATTTGTGTAAGACAATGGAGCAGGTCTTGTTTCAATCACCACACACTCATTTTCTTACTAAGATTTAGTAGATTTTCAGATGTTTCTCCATATACTAAATGTCGTTTGGACAATTTCCAGGGGACTTAAGTGATTGTCTTAAAATAATTTTCACCAGTTAGGGTTGTTTCATTGCACAGAGTGTGTGAAGCCTTCACATAACCATTCCGGAAGTTGAATTCTGCTGGATAATACTTTTTTTTTTAAAAGAAAATTTGTTTCACAGAAAAGATATTATGATTTGTAACACTTTTCAAATAAGGCTGTGGCAAGGTTTACTTCTTTTACATTGCACAGAGTCTCTCAAATGTTTCAGAAATATAGTCTGTGGCAGAGATTACTCCTGTAGTCCAAATTTTATTCTCTCTTTCTTTAGTAATAAAATTCCCAAGGTTCAACTTTATACATAGCTGACAAACTCAAGACTACATTGCAGGTCTCCTTTAAGGTAGCTATGGCAAGAGACAAAATCCTGTGTGATGTAATGTGAACATAGTAATATCTACCATACCCTAAAAGACTGCCCTTTCCCCATTTCCACCGTGGTAGCAGGAGCTGGAACAGCCATATTTGACTAAGAGTTTGAAGCAAAGTGTTAGAGTACTGCAGAGCAACATGAGAGAAAGAAGCATTCCCTATCACCACTGAACTATCATTCTCATCCTGGAATGCCTATCTAATCTTCTGTAAGAAATAAATACAAGTTTAGCCTTAAATCCCTATGTTTTTCTGTTATAGCTGTGTGAGCTATATCCTAACTCATATAATTTGTAACTAATAAAATGCCATTATGTGGTTTGATAAATTTGATGTCAATAATATTATAGATATCAAAGTGATTACCAAGACTGTCAATTTTCCTTTAAATATAATTTTTTACATTATTTTGTAAGAGATGGGGGTCTCACTATGTGTTCCAGGCTGGTTTCAAACTCCTGGCCTCAAGTGACACTCCCACCTCAGCCTCCCAAGTAGCTGGAATTACAGGGGCAAGTTACAGCACCTGGCTTAATGTCAAATTTTCAAGTGAAGAATACTGAGTTCTTGGATATTACAAAGCTTTCACAGCAGTCTTTGAGGCTTGGTTTCTAGGTACATGCAAATTTTAGAATGTACGTATTTCTTTACCTAATTTTGCCATTATCATTGGAGATTTTTATTTACATTGATGAACCAGATCTATGAGCTTTTAAATATCTTCACAGTTCCTATGGTTACTTGGAGAACTGTTTTATGAAACAGCAGATTCTATCTTTTAAATGTTTGTACCAATTAGAATTATTGTTCTTCACATATACAAATCAGTGGTTTCCAAACTTTTCTATATTGTAGATACATGCAAGGTAACACTTGTAAGGCAAACTGGGTTGAACCCAAAGCTGCTCATGGCCAGATTTCGTCAGGCTAGGCCAGGTCAAGCCCAGTTTCTCTTACAGATGAGGGAGAATCATTTCCTCAAGGATTGCTAGTTGGGAAAATTTGATATATTTTATAGAATTATATATTGCTAAGGAATCTAACATGTAAAAGACATAATTTTCAGATTAACTTCTGAGAGTTTACTAATAATTTTCTCCCCAAATAATAGAAGTCATTTAGTTTTTTCATATGTGCTATAGTACTGTAGTGCCAGAGCTCCTGCTAATACAGGATCCATGTATTACTTGGGAAAGTATTAATAGTAGTTCCCTCTTATCCTTAAGGAATACCTTCCAAGATCCCAAGTGAATGTGTAAAACTACAGATAATACCAAACCCTATATATTTTGTTTTTTGATAACTGAGCAGGCTATTAAATGACTAGCAGGCAGGTAGCGTTTACAGCACAGATACACTGGACAAAGGGATGAGTCACATTCCAGGTGGGATAGAGCAGGATGAGTTTTTCATGTTACTTAAAACAGCATGAAAATTAAAACTTAGGAATTGCTTTTTTCTGGAATTACTTAACATTTTTGAAATGTGATTGACTGTAGGTAACTAAAATCTCAGAAAACAAAACCACAAATAAGGGAGGGCTACTGTACTCTAAGTTGAAATATGTGATCATTATGTTCCTTCTATGAGCACTCTCCTGTATTTATAAGCATCAGATGCAAAATACTTACATATTACTTTATCCTCAATTGAGAATGTTACCTTTGAAAGAAAAAATACTAATTTTTTAAATGGAAGGACATCTAATCATCATTTGTGTTTTTAAAATTTATGTTAGCCCCTTTCCTTTTCCTTTCTTTCTTCCCTTCCCTTCTCCCGTTTGTGTGTATGTATAAATTCTCATCAAAATTTATGAAGGTAGTCAATGAAGCTCATACCAGTATGATTGTAGACAACATCGGTAATACAAAGAATATTCCATTCCTTTTTTAATTTTTCCACTAGCTGTCCAACATCGTTCCAGGTATACTTTCTATTAGGTCTTGAAAAGTCAGGATTTAATTCTAACTGATTGGCAAGGGAGTAGCATGACCTAGATAGTCCAAGAGTCTGCAGTGGGGTAAAATGAATCATGTTGTAACCTGCAAAGCAAAAAAACAAAAACCACTTTAAAAACAAACAAACCACACACCAGCCTAAAATAAAGAAAATATAAACTTTCTTAAATAATTACAAATAGCAAGGTAAGCATGCTACTGGAAAAGAAGTCAAACACTTGGGTTTAAATCCTAACTACCACGGGAGACTTTAAGCAAGTTTATTTAAATCTTTCAAGTCATCAGTGTCCTCATATACAAGACAGAGATAATGAGATGATATTTGAAAAAATTCACACACACACTGCCTGGTTATTAGAAAATATATATACTTACATGTAGAAAATTTATCCTCTAACAGTGTATCAACACGTTTTTCTACTATTTTTAATGTTCTATAGTACTTGTATTCTGTTTTAATTATGTCAGTGAACTTCTCATTCCTTTCTTCATACAATACTCAAAAGCAGAAAATTAACATTGAGGTCAGGTGCAGTGGCTTGCACCTGTAATCCCAGCACTTTGGGAGGCTAAGGCAAGAGAATTGCTTGAGACCAGGAGTTCAAGACCAGCCTGGGCAACACAGTGAGATTTCATCTCTACAAAAAATAGACTGGGCCACTGCACTGCAGTCTGGGTGACACAGTGAGACCCTATCTGAAAAATGTATGTTTTAATTATATATATTTAACATACGTATGTGTGTGTGGCTGGGCACAGTGGCTTATGCCTATAATCCCAGAACTTTGGGAAGCTGAGGTGGGCGTATTACTTGAGGTCAGGAATTCAAGACCAGCCTGGGCAACATGGTGAAACCCCATCTTTACCAAAAATACTAAAATTAGCTAGGCGTGGTGGTGCAGGTCTGTAATCCCAGCTACTAGGGAGGCTGTAATACAGGAATTGCTTGAACCCAGGAGGTGGAGGCTGCAATGGGCTGAGATTGTACCACTGCACTCCAGCCTGGGTGACAGAGTGAGACCCTCTCTCAAAAAAAACCAAAACAAAACAACAAAAAAAAGAAAAAATTAATATTGCCCTTTGCTTAAGAGTAAAATATAACTTGTTTCATTTTGCTCTTAGCATGTATGGTAGCATATATCTTCTACAGAAAAGATGGTTAATCAATATTTGTTGAATTCAAATGATATATAATAATAGTAAATTTCCTTCACTTTTCAGTAGCTTATTCTGATTTTTATGTGGTAGTCTTAGAAATGATAATTATTTCAACATAGCTTTCCTTCATTTCTTAAGCTGAGCCACAAAGTTTGCCATTTTTATAGGTTAAAAACGGTTAAGTATCAAAAATTTCCTATGGTTCTATTTATATTACTAAATATATTAAGAAACAAAATTAAAAGTGGAGGCAAAGGATATGATTTGGATTTGTGTCCCTGACCAAATCTCATGTTGAATTGTAACCTCCAGTGTTGGAGGAGGGGCCTGGTGAGAGGTGATTGGATCGTGGGAGTGGATTTCCCCCTTGTTCTCATGACAGTGTGCTTTCACAAGATCTAGTTGTTTAAAAGTGTGTAGCACCTCCCACTTTGTTCTCTTCTTCCTTCTCTGGCCATGTAAGATATGCCTGCTTTCCCTTTGCCTTCCACCATGACTGTTGAGGTCTCCCCAGCCATGCCTCCTATACAGCCTGTGGAACTGTGAGTCAAACCTTTTTTCTTTATAAATTACCTAGTCTCAGGTTGTTCTTTACAGCAATGAGAGAACAGACTAATAAACAAAACCTTTGAAATCTGTATCACAGAGGATAATTATGTTTTTTTTTTTATAAGAAAAAGAAAGCAAGCTGACATTACCTGATTCTTTTGCAACCCTAAGTCTGCTTTCCCATTCATCAAAAGGTCCCAAACACTTAGCTAAAAATGTCTGAAGAGTAACACAGTCCAAGGGTAGCATACGATTATCAGCACCAACACGTAAAATGGGGTCCACAACTATGTAACCTCCGCCACTTTTCTCATTTCTAAGAGAAAAAACAAAACAAAAACTTTTCAGTCAGTGAGAGAAAAAACAATCCTCATATAATGTAGGCTGACTCTAACTAAAAGGTTAATTGTCCGAAATAAAATATATTTATTTCTAAGTACAAAAGTCATTTTAAAAGTTGCAATAATACTTAATGGAAAGGCTACTTTTACCCTTTCACAACCTACATAATTACATATATAACATACAAAATATCCAGTAATGTTGGATTAATGAAAAATAAGTAAACTAAAACTTATCAGTAATAACAAGGGCACAGAAATAAACAGCAACCTATAATCAGGTTGCATGAAATGACTACAGAGTTTTAAGATATTACTTAAAATACATTTACATATTTTGCAATGGGCCATACAATTACTTTCTAGAAATCAAAAAACAATATTCTATTTGCATCTCAAGTAAGCACTGTAAAAATTGCACTGCCATGGTTTATACTGTAACATTTACAAGTTAGGTAACTTCAAATGACAGAATAAATTAACTTTTTTTCTCACATACAAAGCACCTGACTTACCCTTGAAGGAAATAATACTGAAATGAACCAGATTGTTGCAGATTAAGTTTACAGTATTTATCAGAATCATCTTCTCTTTCTGTTGGATTTTCCCAATCCAGAGAACGGAATTTTTCTCTATTAAATGTTTCTCCAGGAAATGGGTAATTTGTATACACGGTAACTGCTTTTCCCTGTAAAGTTGGGCCTAATCGGAACTGTAGTTCAAACCCTAAATAAAAAGCACATTTAAAAAAACTCATTGTAGAACTTAAATTACTACATTGAAAATAGGTGTTTTATTTAAAGTATTTAAAAACCTTGATTTTTCACTTATATTTAAAATAACTCCACAAACCTAATGCTGTTTTGGCACTATTCTGTATTCCAATGTAGCCAAATTTTGTATTTTAGCAAGTATAGTAAACATTATAGAGCTATCTGCTCTGTAATGTTTCTTCTCCTTTCCCTGGAAACTCATGCCAATTCACATAACAACTTTGGGATGTGCAAATTCTTATATAACCTCATTTACCATGATCCCCATCCTCACCCCTGAATTAAGTACCCAGTGGTAGGCATCTGGGCAGAGACCTTCTGTAGTATTTTTCCAACTGCAACTGAGAGAGCAAGTTTCTCTATAGTGTCAGAAAGTATGTGACAGTATGTAAAACCTGATACCATGGGACAATTATCTTACCATACTGAGAAAGCTATTCCTCACTGACAGAAGTCAACCTCTATAGAATTCAGGATTCTAACAGAAGCTCTGGAGGCATCTGAACCCGACTGATGTTGGCTCAAGTCCAGTGATGTGTTCACAAAGATTTAACAACTGACTAAGGTGATGGGAACCCCTGACTTGGAGTGTTTGCTAACTTTCTGGTGGAAATAATCCCGACATGGACAATCTTAAATTACCAACACGACAACATTGAACGTGGAATGGGAAAAGATGTGCACAATCAGCTCTTGTGAGCCAGCATAAGCACCTCCAACACACTACTGCCTATATCCCTACTCTTCATGGTTTAGTTATTAAAGCCGTTCTTGTAATCCTGAGAGCCAATCCATTTCTACTTTTACCCAAGTTAGGTTATTTTTTAAAAAAACACATCTTAGAATTGTGCACTGTGTTACAAGTATTTTGCTGTAAATTTTAACATTACAGTTAAAACTGTACGGCGGGCCGGGCGCGGTGGCTCAAGCCTGTAATCCCAGCACTTTGGGAGGCCGAGGCGGGTGGATCACGAGGTCAAGAGATCGAGACCATCCCGGTCAATATGGTGAAACCCCGTCTCTACTAAAAAAAAAAAAAAAATACAAAAAATTAGCTGAGCATGGTGCTCAGCCCCGTCTCTACTAAAAAAAAAAAAAAAACTCGTTTCAGCTGGATGAAATAAAGGCGTCACTTTTTTTTTTTTTTTTGAGACCGAGTTTCGCTCTTGTTATCCAGGCTGGAGTGCAATGGCGCGATCTCAGCCCGGCGCAGCTACCGTTAGGCATCTGTAAAACAGAGAATCTATTAGCAATAAAGTTGCAAGACTCTCCTTGGCCCACATGCAGAAGAAAAGACTCAAAATAAAAGTGAGCCTTTCGGAGGTTGCGGTGAGCCGAGATGGCGCCATTGCACTTCAGCCTAGGTAACAAGAGCGAAACTCGGTCCAAAAAAAAAAAGGCCTTTATTTCACCCAGCTGAAACGAGGTTTTTTTTTTTTGTTTTTTGAGATGGGAGTTTCGCTCGTTACCCAGGCTGACTCGTTTCAGCCGGATGAAATAAAGGCGTCACTTCAATTTTGAGCCTTTTCTTCTGCATACCGGCAAAGGAGAGTCTTGCAACTTTGTTGCTAATAGATTCTCTGTTTTACAGATGCCTAATCGTAGCTGCGCCTAGCCGAGATCGCGCCATTGCACTCCAGCCTGGGTAACGAGCGAAACTGTCTCAAAAAAAGAAAACTGAACTGCGAAAGAAACGTTTTGGTTGGTTTAAAGCAGACTTTAAACCTTCTTTATAATTATTAGAATGTGAAAATTCTGATTATGGTCAAGTTTATTAGAAATATAACGCATAAAAATTTTAAACATCAATATAACTTTCAATTAATAATGGACAATAATAACTGGTGAGGCAGGAAAGTTTAGCTCCACTGAGTAAAATCTTTTTTTTTTTTTTTTTTTTTGAGACAGGGTCTTGTTCTGTCGCCAGGCGCCAGGCTGGAGTGCAGTGGCGCGATCTCCACTCACTGCAACCTCCACTTCCCAGGTTCAAGCAATTCTCCTGCCTCAGCCTCCCAAGCAGCTGGGACTACGGACGCGCGCCACCATGCCCAGCTAATTTTTTATATTTTAGTAGAGACGGGGTTTCACTATGTCGGCCAGGATGGTCTTCATCTCTTGACCTCGTGATCCGCCCGCCTCGGCCTCCCAAAGTGCTGGGATTACAGGCGTGAGCCACCGCGTCCGGCCCCCTGAGTAAAATCTTTAATGTCTAAGGAGCTTCTTCGAGAGAAAAAAACTAACATTTATAAATTTAATATATATTATTTCTAAGTTATAATGCTTGATTTATTAAACATCTGACAAAGTAATAAAAGATGATATACTAAGAGGGATATTTTCTGTGAATAAAAGATTTCAGCAAAAGACATTAAGAAATGCTACATAGTGAAAAGAATTCCTTCTCTAAGTAACTACATGTACTTTTTCTATAATACAATTTGACATTAATGTATTAAGAATTTATATTTTTTGATCTAGGAATTTTATACAATTTTTTTTGAGAAAATTATCACTGATGTAAACAGATTATGTGTTAGGATGTTTATCACAGCCTCATTTATTGAAATTAAATAAACTGACAACAACTAAATATCTTATGATTGGCAATGACTAAATAAATTATGGTACATCTGCAAGCTGGCATATTATAAAGCCAACATAAATTATGCTATCAAAAGATATTTGGTTGGGCACAGTGGCTCATGCCTGTAATCCCAGCACTCTGGGAGGCCAAGGTGAGAGGATCACCTGAGGTCATAAGTTCAAGACCACCCGACCAACATGGTGAAACTCCGTCTCTACTAAAAAACCCAAAATAGCTGGGTGTGGTGGTGAGCACCTGTAATCCCAGTTACTCAGGAGGCTGAGGCAGGAGAATCCCTTGAACCCAGGAGGCAAAGGTTGTAGTGAGCCAAGATAGTGCCACTGCACGTCAGCCTGGGCAACAGAGCAAGACTCCATTTCAAAAAAAATAATTAATAATCACCTTTATTTTATTTTGCTACATTTTACACATTTATATAGAGCTTTTAAAATCTCTTCTGGAAAAAATCATGGCTGAAACATGGCAGTAGGCAGGGAGGTAGAATATATACACCATAATAACAGTACAAATGGGGGAAAAAGCAGGTTAAAAAATTGTTTAGCTAGTACAATCCTAATTTTTTAAAAAACAAAAAACAGAAAAAATGCTTTTTATACATTTGCATAATTTTATAATTGGAGAAATCATTTTAAAATTAGAGCTACAATTATGAGAGATAGACTAAGAAATAACTACACAAAGAATTAAAACATGAACTAAAATATTTAGTGACTGAGAAGCATAAATATCTATATCTTCACAAGAATTACTAAATTTATCATCAGGAGAAATAGTGTTATTTTGAACAAGTACAAATAGCAGAGATTAGCTATCTGGGTATATTTGTACAACCTGTTCCTCATTAGGTTTATACAAATATTGTTTTTATAATTACACAAGGATTCAGAGAATTTGCAGTGCAAAGGTTAGAACTCCTCTAAAATCTCCAAAAGAGTATTTGATCAGTGCTCTACCTTCAGGAAAAAGCCCCAGTAATTCCCCAAATAAGTCATTTGTTTATATAATATATATGCACGATGTTCTAATAGACTATGTAAATTATAAAACACAAAAATTAACTAAATGGGATAAGATATAAATGAAACACAAATAATATTTAAATAATAAATTTTATTTAGTAGTGGGTAGAAAAAACCTTTTGGCTCTCACTAAAAATTAATATTGATAATATCTCTTAGTGAAAACAATGTAAATAAATGTCATTATTTTAAAAAGTCTTGGTTTTAATATTTTGTAATAAAGTGATTCAAAGATTTAAAGTTTATTTATTTTGGGTAAAATCATGTGACGATGGAAGAAGCATTTCTAAAAATATATATTCAAAATGTTTTGCTATAGCAAGGGCTGGCAAAGTATATCCAGCCCAATTCCCATTTCTGTAAATGAAGTATTACTGGAACACAGCCACACCCATTCATATGTTTGCCCATGGCTGCTTTCCTGCTACAATGGCAGAGTCGAGTCCCTGCGATAGGGAGTGCACTGCTTGAAAAGCTGCAAAGATTTGCGATCTGAACTTTTACAGGAAAATATGTGCCAAACTCTGTTCCAGAGCAACACAATTTCCTTCAAAAAAGCACTTAACTTTCTCACTTATGTTTACATCAAAGAGTTAAGTATTTATATTTTCTGAAAATATTTTCTAAGTATCATCCTATCCAAGGCTACTTGTTATTCCGGAAAAAATCTCAAGCACTTTCTAACTCATCTTTTAAGTGTGATCACTTCTGTGAGGTAAAAGAGCTGTTCTTGGTTTTTCTACCTCTCCTTACAAAGTAATATAGAGACTCTGTTATTTAAGATAATATAACCTGTAAAGTTACTTAACCTAACTTAGGTGAAAGTGCAATTCATGGCAACACACTGCAAACAAATGAGGGAGTGATTGTAAACCCCTTCCAGAACTACAACCTCTACGTTTTCTTCTGAGTATGCCTTTTTTGTTTATAACTTATCTGACATACAAACTGAGAGCAAAATTCATATATTAACATAATTCAATGTTGTTAACATAGAACAGACTTAAACTAAAATAGGTAGACAAAAAAGAAAAGAAAAAGAAAGGAAAGGAAAGGAAGGGAAGGGAAAGGGAAGGGACGGGAAAAAGGAGGGAAGGGAAAAGGAAGGGAAGAGAAAGGGAAGGGAAGAGGAAGGAAAAGAAAAAGGGAATGGGAAGGGAAAGGAAAGGGAAGGGAAAGGGAAGGGGAAGGGAAAGGAAAGGGAAGGGAAGGGAAAAGAAAGGGAAGGGAAAAGGAAGGAGAAGGGAAAGGGAAGGGAAGGGAAAGGGAAGGGAAGGGAAAGGGAAGGAGAAGGGAAAGGGAAGGGAAAGGAAAAAAGGGAAAAGAAAG